ACTACTAGTAAGGCACCTGTTACTACTAGCGTGGCACTTGTTACTAGGGTTCAGTTTTTTCAGGCCACGGATTCCAGGTCATCTCACGTTTGATTCGAAGATGAAGCTGTGAGGGTCGGGGAAGGAAGAATTGGGGTGGGGGGGACAAGTCGAGGTCAACCCTATGGGGGAAGCATGGCTGTTTGGCTGCATATCTGAGAACCAAAGACGAATATAATCCGACTAGTTGATCTAGTTGACTAAATGACATTGATCTTCAATTGGCCAAAGGAAACCATGGGACCTCTGTCATTTTGTCATTGGCTGTTTTGGGGAGACACATGCTACAGTGAGTCGTTTTCCCCTTCAGTCGTCGACCATCCCCTACTTGGATTTGATTTCTCGACCCCAGATGGATGATGTGTCTGGTTTTATGGAGTGACCACAGCTCGAGATGGGTGTGATAGGTCATCGCAGGTCACAGATCTGCAGGATCTTCAGGTTGTAGTTGATTCATGTGGAGTTGCAAACCCCTTCAGCAGTTACGTCCGAGCAACGCCAGCATGACAGTGGTTTCCCCATGTCTCCCCCTGTCAGAGATATTTATATATATATATATTTTTTGCATGCAGAAAAACAACACATCATTTGGATTTGACCATGTCAATCAAAACGGGGGACCTCGCAACCGATGGATTATTTTTGCGTTTGTTTTGATTTCCCCCCAGCTCGGTCTCCCGTGGGGGTCTCCCTGTTAGACCTCATTTGACTTGACCGTGTAGCTGCGCGGCAGATGCCGTTGCCTGCCAACCTCCACTTCGTCATGGCGACCACACATCAAGGCTGCACGACGCGGCGGTGCCTGGCGCCACGGCGCGGGCGGCGCCATGGCGGGTGGTAGTTGTGAAGATTGTGAAGACGATGTGGCTACTAGAAAAGGGAGTGAATTCTTAGTGAACTTCCACAACAATACACTGGAAAATCACGTTTCAACATGGCAACCCAGCTTTCCGGCCACCGACAGGGCTTCGTTCGGGGAGTGTCTTTTGCTAGTTTCCCAATTGTACCATAACATGTGCAATCCTGTCTCGCAGTCTTGCACTTGCACAGAGGAGTGCACAGAGGTCTGTTACGGGGGGTCTGAAAGGCTAGGCTTAGTGTCTAGTACCGGAAATCTCCGCTGCGCGGGTTAATTACTCTCCTCTTCAGCCTTGTCTTCATCGCGTCATTCAGTGTGCAAACAACTGAAACCGCTTTCGGAAGAACCGTTTTCGCCTCATCTAAACCACCGGGGAGCCGAGCTTCGGGCCCATCCATGGGCCGACGTGACGCCGATGCCGACATGAGGTGAGTTGGATTGGGATGAAGAGGCGAGGACCGACGCGGAGAGGCGACGGCAGAGTCCATCTCGAGAGTCGACGGCGACTTGAGACGGGGAGAGGCAACGACAGACACCATGCAAAGTGACCCTAATGATTGTAAGTCTTTGTAAGTCTTTGTAAGTGATCACTTGACACCATGTAAGTCTTTGTTTCAGTCCCAGTCTGATGTGAAATCTGGGCACTATGAAAGATCCACAGCAAGCTTTGCCGCTTTTCGCGTGGATGCAAGGGCTTTGCGATTTCGACCTGGCAGAAGGCCTGTGTTTGGGTCTTCCAACCTCATTTAGGGGTGCGGTACCTTCTCAGGACCTTCTCTCTATGGATCAGGCCCTTCCCATGGAAAAACACAAGGATTGCGGTGCTAGCTTTGGAAATTTGTGAATGATGTCGAATTGGGGCCAGGTCAGACCGTCTTGCGATTTGGAAGGCGACATGAAAACTTGTGACATGATTTGGAGATATTTGGAGTACATATCAGAGTCAATGCGGATGAGCACAAGTGTTAGTCCTTCATCATCGCATCCCTTTCAATTGCTTCTATGCTAAACCCATGGAGTGTCTGGGTTATACTGTATGTTATATACTATTAACACATATTTAATATTAACCTTGTGAATCAGAACCCCGGAAGCCTCCAAGAGTTTGACGTGAAGTCACATCCAGTCCCACCTTTTTCAGGACTCCTCAGTCAAAGCACATCGATGAAGTTGAAGCGTCTCGGAGGGCTAGCAGTTCCCAGGAAATAGGGGCAGCGGTTTGTTTCAATACACCCCTACACCTGGCCAGTCACCTGCGTTGTTTTCTTTCGTCGCTGCACAAGGCCTTAGGTTCCAAGCCACAATGGCTCGAGGGAGCCAGCTTTGCACACAGGTCCCCTGCTCAGCTATGCGCCGCTGTTGGGCGGATGGATCATCCTTGAGAGAATGCAGAATGGATGATTCCTACCCAGAAATGAGGAATAACTCGTCATCTGGATTATAACTCCATATAACTCCTATGTCATCTGCGGTGAGTATCTTTTTGTACAATATTTACAGTGGGTTGAGAGTAGATGGCACAATCCCCAAGTTGGGTGGTTTATATGGACCCCCATCTTTCTAAGACATCTTGGGGTGCCAGTGCCATCAAATCTCAACCCACTGTATACGGACTTTTCTGGCCTGGCCCGACTCACGCAGGAGTCGGGCCAGTTGGGGTATGCACAACCGGTGACCTACTCTTCCGAAAACGAGACGAGAGAGATCCTTGTACACATGAAACATATATGTAATGTGTTGTAATGTCATATTATACATTAAGTCACATTGCACTACATTATATCATGTAGTATTATAACATGTGAATTGTATCTTACTCTATTTGGAGGGTGCCAGCTGTTTCAATTATCGAATGCAACTCTTGAATGTGGGCCCTCAACCTCCTACTACCCTTGTGCAGAACGGAGCTATGATAGCACCGACCACTGCGTTCTGATTGGTGGTTTGGCATCATGCGACCTTCAGGGACTTTGATGGGCGAAGCCAGAGTAAGAAGTAGTAGTAGTAGTAGTAGTAGTAGTAGTAGTAGTAGTAGTAGTAGTTTGTGTTTGCTTTTGTGTTTGCGTTTGTTGTCGTTTGGTTAGTTATTAGATGTTACTGTATTAGATGTTGTTAGCTATTCTGGGTTATTGATTAGTGGTAGGTCTTGCAGCAACTGAGGGCCATACAGAGATTCAGTGCTTAGCCCTTAGCTTATTTATGCCCCCAACAAAAACACCAAGCCGCCTGTTTTGCGGTTTGGCCTTCCGCCCCGGAATGTGCGGAAGCCCCCCAAAACGCGCCTTCCGGTGGCCCTGGGCGAGCCATTCAGAGTCCGCGCGCGCTTTCCTCGCTGCCGAATGCGCTGCTCAAGTCACCTGGAGGTGGTCTTAGTTTCTTCAGGGCACCGGCGGGACGACGCAGGCGATCGGGAGAATCCGTTCTTCCGCGCTTTTCGCCTCGCGCCACCTGACACGGACGTTCGCCCGGCGCGCGCGCGGGTCTTGGCTTCGCGAGCGAAAAGGGGTGGTGTTCGAAGCCGGTGAGTTGAGGAGCCGAAAGGAAGGAGTGCCTTGGCCCATAGGCATCACCAAGCCGGACCGTTTGTTATTTGTTTCGTCCAATATTTCCAATCAACAACACTTGCTTGTGGCTTTCTGCTGTCATGGACCTGGTGGTGAGGATGTCGTTGATCAGAATCCTCAACCGGTGAAGCCTTCCCCTTCGATCTCGGTTCGCCCGAAACCGCAGATGCAGATGGAGAATGGATTAGTGCCCCAAAACCGGGCGAAGTTCATGAGTAGTGAGAGGGCGAACTACAGAGTGAGAGGTCATGGCTTTTGGAGCCCTTCTGTTTGACAGAAAGGTATCATGTTTGGTATGAAAGGTAGGTGTTGGAAAGGAAAGGTTGGGGTGGGTGTGTATTAACATAGGGAGACCTCCCAGTTCGACCCCCCTGGAAGAATAGTACACTTCAAGCCCATTGGCCCATTGGTTGGGTGTCCTCCTATTCTAACTACAACACCCTGAAGTGTCCTGAAGGATGGTGATGAAGTTTGGCCTTAGGGTACTAGACGTGTTTCATCAAGACAAGCAACCTTGACTAGTACTTGAACTAGTACTTCATCAATAGTGCTTGGGGCACGTGCAGCTGGTGTTTTCAAGATCAACGTGTTTCATCAATACTTGAGGTGCCAAAGCAACCTGGAAGACGAACATGGGACCTACAATACTGCATATACTTCTAATAGTCGTGATTGTGAGTTTGTCAAGTCCCATTTAGCAAGGCATTTTTATTTGGAATAATATGTAAAAATGGGTTCCTTCGGAATGGGTTGCTTCCTCTCCCACCAGCCAGGGACGGCTGTGAAAAAGAAGACTGCACCGCCAGCCGCATGTGGACCACGTTTTTATTATTCCTGCATCCAATATCTTCCAATGGCTGTTTAGAGTGACCCTTCAAAAGCCCCGAATAATATAACCATATTAAAAGCAAACAGGCAAACAAACAAACAAACAGGGCTTCTGAAGCCACCCCTCACACATGAATCCGCACGTTTTGAGCGGATTCGTTTTGGCGCTCTTCTTTATGATCGCAGGCCGCAATGATCGCCCTCGTGACTTGGAATTTCCCTAGGGTCCAGGGGTGAGAGTTTGGTGGAAGACTCCATTCTTGAAGTCTCAGGGTGGAAGTGCCCCCCCTGTGGTCTTTAGAGTTCACGAGGAATTCTTCTTTGGAGGTAGTTTGAAGACTGCCAGTTTGGGGTTCTTTGTCAAACATATTTTGACATGGAAGCTGTATATACATTGTTATGTCAATTCAATTAATTTTGGAAGTTGGAAGTGAAACAGGAGATATAGTGCAAAGGTGGTTTCAAAGCAGATAACAAAATAGATACATTGAACAACATTGATTTAGTATTTGCAAGAACAGCAATTGAATATTATATTTTGGTTAGATGGCCCCAATCGTATTCTGAATGTGACAAATACCATAGGAATATCAACAGGTGACACGGTTGCAAATGGTAGTAGGGATAGGTCATTGGCAACTGATACTTTTGTGGTGCTCATGTTCATTAACTACTGACAGACAGAGTAAAATTAGATAAACACACAGATACAACTGCACAGATACACGTGTTGATTAGGCAATGGTAGACAACGAAATACATCGGCGCTTGGTGGTGTTGGTCAAGAAATCGAGGTAAGGTTCTTTGCCAATATGGGTGTCATGATGCAATGTATTTTAGGGACCCCCTTGATAGAGAGTAGGACAGGCTTAAAGGCTGCCAGAATTGATTTAACATAACAAGGACATGTGGTGCTAAGGAGAGTAGAGTCAAACACCAGGTGTTGCTTCTATGGGGGTGTCATGACAATGACAATGCAGATTGCATTTTTAGCGGGAATGGTGAGAAGTTCATAAGATTTACTGTACAACTGCGGATTTATAGAACCAGCTACCCTCCCTCCAACAAACATGGAAGTGAAACATGGCTTCCTGGAATGTTTTCCTCTACGAACAGGCTGCATTCGACTTCTATGATTGTGTCAGGGAGGCTAAATGTATTATTTTTTAAACGTTTTACAGGTGGTGAACCGAGTCACTGCACATCTACTCTGTTGCGAGTGGAAGTGTATGCACAGTTGCAGATGCACATACAAAATATATGCGAGAGACACATGGGTAGTGCTGATGTAGCAACTTTGCAACTTTAAGTTCAATATATAGGCCTCAGAACTCTCCCCCCCCAGGAGGGCCGCCTATACAGCGCCCTGATATACACCTGGAGCCTGCGTGACCCCTGTTCTGGAGGATCAACTATCCAAGTTATTGTCTTTTCCTATCAAAACAGAGGTCAGTCAAGCTCTAATTAGGTATACAGTATATGCATGACAATATAAACGTAATCACATCCTTTATCCTTTTTCCCGTGGCGCAGCTCCAACGGGACCGCTCTGTCGACCACCTGGGCCGAGGTTCTTTTCCAGCTGACCTGGGTGGCGCACGCACAGACGGACCGACCGGTCGACTGGTCGGGATCAGATGTTTGGGTGCACCGATCGACTGAACCGATGTGTACCAACCGAACAGTGGTGGTTGAAATGACGGCGAGCACGAACAAGGTCTGGGACACGGATCTAGGTCTGCGGGACCCCCAGAGCTTGGTTTTTCTGGTCTTGGGACATCATCTGAGGCTTTTTTGGATCGATGGATAGTTTGAGAGTGGAAAACTGGGTGAGCACTTGGAAGAACTACAGAAGTTGAGGAAATGGTTGCTATGCTGCTATGCCCTGCTTGCCCTCAAGCAGTATATTGCAGATGGACACAGAGCAATATGAGCTGACAATAGCTGACAAGAGACGCGCTAATTGAGTCGATCTTTACGTCGCAATTCACCGAGGCAGTCAGTCATGCAGGTTTTCTTCACCACAAAAATGGGACTCAACTCTTAAGCCCTCCCCAATCCACAATCCAATCATGCAAAGTCAAACTGCGATTTGCCGATTCTTCAGGATTTTCCCGTGCTTTTAAGTAACTAGGTGGAGGCCATCGCTATTAAGTGGAGGCCATCGCCATTAGTTAACAAGAAGCCTTTGAGGTCTTTGATGTTTGAGTGTTTCTGGGCTCTTCATCCACCCTCCATCCACGCCGCTTTTCCAGGATGCTTTGGTGCCCGGAGGCTTCCCGGGCGCCTTACCGGGCATCGTCCCGGGGCTCCGGAAGGCGGGTGCGAGACGAAGGGGCCGGGTATCTGGATGCTATTGGTGATGGTTAAATGCTTCCATTTGATGTCATCAGTTTTATTGTTTTGTTGAGTGTTCCCTAAACCCTAAAGGCCCTAAACCCTAAAAGCTGTATGGTTATATATAGAGTGTTAGTCCGATTATTGGGTCTGTCCGAGTATTGTATCTAATAATATATATATATATATCTTGCGTCTGTCCGAACTTACCTGTCACAGTCGGTAAACAATGATCACTATTTTAGAGAAAGGCCTGCAACCTAACTATCATCACCCACTGGCACTGGGATAGACCCAAGATATATACATATATTATGCTGGTAGGATTCGGACTGCTGGGAGACACACACATCTATATACATATATACTGTATAATTGCATGAATCGAAATACATTGCATCAAAGAAGGCCCATGAAGATTTTAAGTGGTCTTCTAAAGACAATATAGAAGGACAGTTATGGCTCAAAGATTTGCCTCTCCGGTGAGATCGTCCTTGTCCCGCGCTGTGGAAAGAAGCTGAACCAAAAAGAGAAGCATGGAAGCTGCATTTGGCTGATGTACGATAATGATACTCTACAAGACTTGTATATTATTTACACACATATAATATGAGTATTATACATATTCAAGAAGCCATCTCAAACGTGGTTTCAATGCAACCAGTTCCATTTGCTTTTCCTCCTTGTCTGGGCTCGTGCGACCGCCGGGGGGCTTGGTGACCGCCGCCTGGCAGGTGCTCCAGGCTGCGCCGACGGAGGCGCCCAGCCTGGTGCCCCCGCCGCCCCCGGCGCCGCCGAACCGGGCGTTGCCCTCGACGAAGGTGGACGCTCTAGCCTCTGCCGCTCGGTCCGCGCGGAAAGACGGAGCATTTGTAGATGGGTTTGAAGGTAGATGGGTTAGATGAGATGATCATTTCACCCCCCAGCCTGGAGAGGCTGTACAATCACAATCTATATGTTGGGGTTATTACAGAACCAAGAGAGTCTACATGAGAGAGGAACTCGACTTGGCCTGAAAACGGTGAACAGCTCCAGCAGCTCGGCTCCTCTTGCGTTGAAAACGGACCAACGGCTCTCTGAGAGGGCCGAGTCCGACCTCACCACCTGATGGTGGAAGACAGTCCTGCAGAAGGTCCTGCAGTCCTTCTCCTCAAGGCGGGGTGGCTCTCCTCCCAACATGGGAGGCATGTGGAGGTCCTGAGACGACCTGGACCTCCGCCTGTTTGGTACAGGTCATGGTCTTTCCCAGGACCCCGACAATCCACTTTAGGACACCGGACGACCGCGACGTGGAACGTCGACCCTTCGTGGTGGGACATCGGGCGAGACGGACGAGCTGGAGACGTCCGGTGCCACGAGTGGGACCGGACCTACGGGGAAGTTGGGTTCCGGCCGCCAAGATGGTCAGATGGTCCAAATGCGTCCAAAATGAACTAAGAAGATGTCGCATCCTGGCTGCTTCTTGGCAGATTCTCTCCCCTTTTTGTGTCGTTTCGCACCTGAGGATGCCATTACGACCTCATCAAAACCAGCACCTTAGCTCGGAGGGCGTGAAAGGGGATAGGGCGTCAAAGGGTCGATGTGTCTGTGGTATGGGTATGTGACGGTTCAGGGGTATGTGTTTTGTTTGTTTTGAATGTGTGACAAGTTGCACTGTTGTTTTTTTCACTCTTCCCTGACTGTAGGTATCTGAACCTAAGTTGCACTGTTTAAAAGTTGCACTGTTAGGTTGCACTGTTAGGCTAGGGTGATGGTCCATGTTACTGAGGTAATCTTAGGGAACCTAGAGGATCCAGTGACCACTATAGTAGGTAAGCAGTGATTGGACAGACTCATGGTTACTATACTATAATTACTTTCTCATATGAAATCACTATAGACAGCTCTTATTTCCGCTGCAATATGTTGTGGGCACCGCTGTGGACACAGAGAACACGGCCATGGGCCATAGAGAGTGATAGTGATAACGGCGATCCACAGGGAGGAACCCTGCCTTGTCGCTGCAGACGCCACGATCCGTCGTTGCACAGGGTATGAAGATCAGCATCGACATGACAGGCAGGACGCTCTTGGGGAGGGGTGTATCATGGTTGATATATTGGTTTTGTGTTTTTTTTTGGGGATCTCGCTGGCTTCAATGGATTACGTTTGTGTTTGACCTTAACAAATTGTCCCTAACCAAGGCAGGGCTCTTCTTTGGAGTTTGTTCATTTTGAGACACACCCAGGTTTTGTGTGGTGTGCAATTAATAAAGCTTGAGATTGATTGAGTACAGATCTAGTGGGACTGTGGGATGGCTTTAATCTTTGTCATGGAGTTGGTTTGTCAGTTTGGTTTTGTTGTTTGATGCGATCGCCATCACTCCACCTTTCGGTGGCGATATGCCGACTGCTGGGAAATATATATACCCTGTATAATATATATATATATGAATCGGAATACATCAAATAAGGCCCATGAAGATTTGGGAGTGGCTCTCAAACCCACCACGAAAATGCCAGGCTTCCACATGAGCGCTGAAGAGATCAGACAATCAGAGGACAAGCTGAAGCAGGAGAAGTCATGGGACAATCAGGGTCTCCATGCTGAGATCAGGGTCTCCATGCCGATCATGCCGGAAACAGCTGGACAACATACATTTAGATTGTTGATGCACAGACACAGATAAGTCATCCAGATTCCTTCAGTTCGTACATAGCTTAACTGGGAATTTGACGCATGCTGACAAGACACATCCACAGTTCGTAGCGGCATGAAGGTTCTTGGTGAAGTCCACCCAAACCATGTACTGTAGGTCACCGCTACACCGGCTCGCACACTCACGGCATCTTAGTTTATTATACCCAGACACTCCATGCATGGCATATTTACGTACATAGACCCCTGAAACCACTCCAATGCAGGTAAATATGCCAGTCCCATGGAGTGTTTGGGATAGTTTGTTTGGTTCCTAATTAGGTTAAGAGGTTTCTTTTGCCTACCTACCTCTTTTGGACACTTGAGTGTCCCCAACTCTTGAGTGACTCTTGATTATATTTCACCCCCCCCCCCCGGAACGATAGGATTGTAAAGCCTCTTCCTATCGTTCCTATTGGAGGGTGAAGTATCATCAAGAGTCTATAAGGTTCTTTGTGCTGAGACCCAAATGGGATGCAACACCACCCAATTTGGGTCGTCCTTGACAACACCGCCTAACAAATAAATTGGTGGGCGGGAAACCTACCTTTTTTGTGCGAATCCACATACTCGGTGCGCATCCTCGGTGAACCCACCTTCTTCAAGCCCACCGCGCGCTAGACGCGCTAGACGCGCGCGCGCCCGGTTCGACCACGCGCCCCAGACCGGTCAGTATATACCGTGGAACCCACCGGTTCGCTCACCTCAGGAGGCGCAGAATGAAGCGAGGGTTCAGGAGGAGGACCGGCCGCCCGTTTCTGGGGCCGTTTCCGGCGTCCGCTGAAGGACTGAGTGTTCTGCGGGGACCACCGCTGCCAGGGCCAGTCACAGCGCAAGCGAAACCGACGTGGTGTCGGACTGGGGTGTAGAGGAACCAACATTGAACTTGTGTGGGAGGAACCAACTTTGTTTGAAACAAAGGGCAAAGGCCAGCACACCTAATTCTATCCAACATCTCGTGTAGAAGCTCATAACAGGCCCTTACCTTTATACATTCCCAAAAACAACACAGAAGATACCTTGATAATATCTATTTTTATAACATGTAAGACGACTGGTCCGTTCAACTTCGCTTTTGGTCCATGGTGGTTTCGCCAGGAGATTGCCCATCGCCATGAAGCGTACCAGTGGCTGAAGCAGCACGGCAACAACATGGACAACTCTGTCTGCGAGGTCTGTTTCGTTGCCATGAAAGGACACCTTAGCCTGCTTAAGTCAGATAGATGTCTATCAGAGAGGTTGTTTGGTCCTTTGCTTCGAGCTTCTAGATCAAACTCCCCGGATTCCAAAGCAATATATGGAGCCATGAAGCAACCTCCCCCCCCCACAAGCCATCGCCATCACTGGGACCAGGCGGCAGGGACCTTCTTCAACTTCAAGGTCCTCACGCAGCTCGTGAAGATGGGAGGTTCAGTCGCTCGGCGGATCGAACACGAACGAGCTGCGATCTGAGCAGTGCAGCTGAGCCGCCGCTGGTGGTCGTGGGTTACGTGTTGGATGTGAGGTTCCTTGGGTCTTGGGAGGCCACAGCCTTAACACATTCCCACGCAACTGCTGAAACGATTGGTGTTCCCACAGCCTACTTGCCACATGGCCACACACCACTCCGTGTGCGTGTGTACCTGTTGGGACCACCAACTCTATCCGCTCATGCTATCCAAGTCTCCAACTCCTTGTCCATCATATCGCTTTTGATGGACCACCCAGACACGACTCATGGGACTGGCATATTTATAATAAATTGATCAGTAAACAGTTTTAAACATACCAGTCTTTGACATACATTGACCCCATTTCAACCACTCTCGCGTTACTCTCGTCCGGCTGAGACTTCGAACCGGCCCGCACCGGCGCAAACGCAAACGCGTGCGATGCGTGCGGCGATTTCGCCGCGCGGTTCGTGCCCCGCGCGAGAAACGCGCGGTGGCCGAGGTGAATAAGCAGATGTGCGGCTCCGACTCGGGAACCCCCCTTCAGGCCGCCGCTTACTGGGGCCTCTCTGAAGGACCGCGGGTAGGCGCGTACGCATGCGTGGCGTGGGAAGCCACGTGGCTGGATGTGGCTGGTGGGTTTTGAGGGTTTGGTGGCCCAACAAAAATGGGTCACCTTTCTGTGTAACGCCGCAAGAAGAAAGCAGGTTGGACCAGCGTGCGCGTTTGGTGCGGTTGGAGCAGGAAAAGAAGGGAGTAAAGATGAGTAAAGACTTTCTGCAAGGGGGTAAGTATCCTGTTGGAAAGGGCAATGTCGCAGCCTGTCCAGATACCAGCTCAAGAGTCCAGGTCCTGGTATCTTCGGCTGTGATTGGTCAACTTGAATTTGGATTGAACTGGGCACTTGTCAATGTGGAGCTTCACATGATTTCAACAGGAAGTTCCCGAAAAGGATACAACGATATGTATATGCTCAAAGCAAGCCCTTTGCTTTTCTAGATCGCCCGAAGTGCCATGCGCTTCTTCAGATGACCAGGCGGAGCTGAAGAGAACAAGAGCTTTTTCACAAAGAAACGCATCAACTCATCAAATCACATCTACACCTCTCCATCCGTTAAACAGCTATACAGACGGACTACCATCCTTTTTTTGGGGATGACCCGCTTCCCGCTCCAACCGGCGCCGCTTCAACCCTGAAGCGCTCTGATCGTGAGGAGTGAAGCGGATCATGCGAGAGCTGGGAGCGGATCCCAATCTCTGCAACGCCAAAGGCTTGCCACCGGTTTATGAAGCCTGTGAGCATGTGAATGGCCCTAGCAACAAGGAGAGGGACAGGGGATGAGAGGGAATAGAGGGAATAAGAGTGGTGGGAGAAGGCACTTGAAATCCTTTTGCTTTTCTCTAGATCTTGATCTGACAGATTTGATTTGTCAACTGAAGCATTGTTTGCCTTGTCTGGCTGGTCCAGCTATCATCATATTTCATCTGCAAACAGAACTTCTTACAGATCACACTTGATCTCTTTATTTTCATTTCACAGCTTTGATCATAATTTTGATCTATCTGATAGATTTGATTTATATCCAATGTTATCTAAACATATCCATGACAACATATCTAACTACATGTAAATAAATCCAAATCTATCTAAATCTATTTGTATCTGTGTCTATCTCCCTCTCTCATCTATCTATCTATCTATCTATGTATCTATCTATGTGAGTAGAGATCTAGATATCTTCTAGATTTGATCTATCAATATAGACCCGTTTGCCATATCTTCTGACTGTTTGGTCCCCCGAAGCGTTTTCTCGACTCACCAGGACACGATCCTTGGCCTGGTGGAAGGTGCCTATCCGATCGAGTCGATGGAGATCCCACCATTGACGTCCCTTTTAGGGTCATTTCTTAAGTCATGTTTCAAGTCAAATTATATAAGTCATTTTGGGTCATCTCAGGTCATCTTAGGTCATCTTATGTCATCCTGAGTACTTTCAAGTCATCTTAGGCCAATTTTGGGTCATGTCAGGTTAGGTCATCTTGAGTCATCCTGAGTACTTTCAAGTAATCTTAGGCCAATTTTGGGTCATCTTAAGTCAGCTTTGGTCTAAGGGGGGCTACTGGATGCGACTGGCATCTATAGTGGCTATAGTCGCTATTTCAAGAGCGAGCTTGGGGAGGTTAAGCTGTGAGAACGCGTGTGCCTTTCTCACAACTAGTACTTGTAAGTAACTATTTGTGTACTGACTTTTCAAGACAATCGCGATTCTCCATCTATTTGTAATTCCCTAAAAAGTTGTTTGGATCTTAGATTGCTTTGTAGGACCCTGTCGCGGAGTTTGTCAGTGATGCATCTACTTCCGTGTGAAGAGAATCGCCCACGATGCGCCTGGCACGGCACGGCGCCAGGCGGAGCCGATCTCAACATGGAAGTCGAAGGAGACGGCGGAGCCGACGGCGGAGCCGTGGGAAGTGGCCGACCGCGGTCCGGTCGGCCGGTCGGCCCAAACAGGGAGCGGCCCAAGAGCACATGGAGGCACATGAGTTGGTTTTGTTGCTAAGCAGGTTGAGTTTGATTCATGATCCAAATGCACTACGCTTTGCCTTCCCATTCAAGATTCGACGAGATGACTTCCAGCATCCCAGTTGCATCTGTCATTTCCATTAGACATGTTTTGCTAAATGGGATTTTGCATTCAGAAATCAGTTTGGGATGTTGGAATATTCTATCCCAAACTTGGCCATTTTCCCAAGAATCCCAAGACTCTGGGATCCTTCCATCTCTTTGACCGGCATTTGTGAGTCAGAAAGGGTGGCTACCTCAGGCTACCTCGCCCCAGATACAGCCCACAAGACTCTCTCAAACCCCGAGGCGTGGGGCCGGATTTGGGCCGGGGTCGAGGCAGATTCGAAGATCTGTTTTCATCCCTTGCAGATCTCCCCACAAATTCTGTGGCACGATCTCAAGTGTCCACTCCAGATGGTTCAGACGGTGTGTCCAGCTGAACGTGTCGAAAGCGTCCATGCACCGAACGCCGCCGTTCGCGTCCCAACGTTGAGTGTCCTGACAGAGCTGGGCAGGAGTGTCCTTGGTGAAGCTTGCCATGCAGAAGGGCTCCTGGGCCGTGGCAAGGCGCGACAAACGCCGCGTGACAGACACGGCTCCGTGACCGAACGTTTCGGGAGTGCTGAAAGAGTGGTGAACCCTATGGGTCGGATCTTCCAAGATATGCCAAGATTAAAATGATCTTCCAGGATTACGATAAGTTTCTTTATTTTCTTGCGTTTAGAAAGGAGCAAACAAGTGTGGTGGAGTTGTGTGTCTTTGTGTGTGGGTTGAGTGGATGGGTTTGATTGTTTGGTTCATTGTTTGGTTTTCTCCCTGAACAGCAAGGGTTGAGTGGACACGCAAAACGGAGATATTGCTTATTACGAGCAAAACGTTGCTGGGTGTAGTAGATGTCTATTTTGATTCATATGAATATATATATAGATTATAATACCAGAAATACACAATCTCTCGTCATATATATTATGCACATATTTTTACATTGGTCCGCCCATCCTTCTTTCACCCCCCCAGACCTCAAAAAGCGTTTTCATTTCCTTCCATGTTCCACAGATGTCTTCTGCGGGCGGGTGCCACCTGGCCCTTCGTCTTCGACACCAAGCTGGAAGTGCATGGCCAGGCCAGGAGGATGCTTGACAAACCTGGCTCAAACCCAGCTGAGGACACGGGGTCTTAACATGTATATATAATTATGTATAGTAACTTAGTGTGGCATATTGAATCGCTCGTCCATGTTGTTCGATCATGTGACAGTAGGTGTGAAGAGTTCTCCGTAAGAGCCCGTGGCGGGATGTCACAGAGAAGAGGGAATCGGAATCGGTGGTTTGTGGTCGGCTCTTCCAGCGTTGTGGCGGACGGTCGAGGTTTGTGGCAGACGGTCCATGCGCATGATTTGGGTCGGTCCGAACTTGCCTGTAACAGTCGGTAAACAATTATCACGTCACGCTGGCCTGCAACCTAACCATCATCATCCACTGGGGCCTGGTAATTAGATAGACCCACAGCAAGATCATTGTGTAGTGCCAGAATCTACGCGTTTCTTTCAACTATTTCTCATAGGGATTCTATTGTGCTTCAGAATGACTCATCACTGATTCTTGCGTTCTTGGGGCTGGCTTATGCTTCCGTGGAACAACGAAAGCGAGTGCTTGCGTCACACAACGCTCCAGTGATGGGGACGACCGGCTGGGCCCCCAGAACTCACCGGCGACGTCTTCTACGACCCCCTCCCTACTCTCCCGTTTGGTCTTCATGCGGACAAGCACCTGTTTGGTCTTCGGAAAATGGTCTCTCCAGAGGCCAGGCCATCCACTGCCAATATTTGTTATTCCAGGAAGACGAAATATCAATTGCCTCGAAGTTGACTTCAAAATTTCGGCACCCAAGGACATGCAAATTATGATCTATTTCATTTACTGATACCATCCGATACCGATACCCCTCTTAGATTCTGAGAGCAACCAGAAAATCTCACCCTAGATTGCTGACCTCTCACCCGGCCGCACAAGTCTATCATCTGCTAGGCCTACAACCTGCCGCATGTGCCGCTCAGCATGAAGGACGCGCACTACCACTTTTGCCGCGCCGCCGAGACGGGGAACACCACCATGGCAGCTTGGACCGAGATGGGTGGGTTCGTTGTTACCGGGAACTGAGACGACTCGTACCGAAACGAAATACAAGATAGTACAAGTACCAGATTGGTAATGTCCCATTTTCTAGGCTACGGACTTTGGAGGGTCTATAGGTTGTTTCGATTCTTTTCTTGGACGGATTCTGGCTTGCGTTCTAGCACCCAGCTTGTATTACTGTACAATACTGTCCATGTCTTCTGGAACATTCAAGAAGTTTAGACATCTCGAAGAAGCATCCTACCGGCACTGGATGTTTCAACAGACTTCCAGTAGGGTGCAGTGAGTTTTCCAGCGGATCAGTGCCCTCGGTGCCCTCTCCGTGCCCGGCCCGGTGCGTGCTCTCTCGGCACAGCAGGTCCCACTGTGCAGATGTTGGGAGGTTTTGAGTCTCATGCGCCGGAAGTGTCCCACTTATGTCTCGATGTCTTCAAGATATGGGCATCAAATACAGTACATGAAACCACAGGCACCTGGTGACTGACCAGTGGGCATTACAACCATCCACAGATCGTATGTCCCTTTCCTGCACATGTCTTGATCCCAAACCCATCTGTACACCACTGCACCTGTTTTATTTTTGGGTGCGTTTCTGACCGCAAGGGAGTGCATCCAGCAAATAGGTGATGTTAGAAGCAGGTGAACTGGCCCATCAAGTGTCCAAAGAGGAGCTGCTTCGGTGCAAGACCTGGTGCAGTGCAGCCTCCTGCACGCGCGGACGTTCGCGCCTCGCGTATGTACGCGCACGCGTGCACATGAGCCTGCTGAGATTGTGAGCTACATTGCTTCTGGCATGGACATGGACTATGGGCTGTGCCATGGCACTTTCGAAAGCGCAGAGGGTTTTTGAGGAAAAAGCAAAATGAAGAGGGTGAGTGTGGATACCCGAAAATCCGGAGAAGCGTAAGGAATCCACGAGAGAATTGATGGGAGATTGCACCTTTCTATGTTTCCCTTTAGCATGTATTTTGTGATTGGAGTCAGGATGGGTGTCCCATGAAGCTTGGGGTTAGAACAGGTCCATCAAAAGATCAGAAGCGATTCAGGTGCGATAGTGGAGATTTGGAACCTGCCAGGCTTGTGACCAAAACTGGTGGCAGAGGTTTCAGGGCTCTTTCGTGTGTGCTTGGAATAACCGGGAGTCTCTGCACCATGCAGCAGGCAACAGGTCGGACGACCAATGACCTCTCAAGCTTCTGACTTCAAACTCCATCTTCAACCCAACATCACCAAACAGAACCAAACCACCCTGGACCCATCACTCTCTTTCTTAAATGAAGCCGTCCCACGGGGGCGTCGGGGGCGTCAGATTTTGTTTTAAACACACACCTCTCTTGTCCCCTCTTTGTTGCCCCAATCACCTCTTGTCTCCACAAGTGGTCGGATGCTAGACGCACACCGACCGACTCCTGGAGATCGATCGATCGCTCCAGATGCTGGACGCCTTCGCTGACGTGGTATACCACCGTCCTGGGCCACGCAGCCTTCCACCGGCAAAAGGCCCCGGGGGAAACCGACCCGTTCTGCACCTCCATTCCGGAACGGAAGGGGAGGCAGACACAACAGCTGGGGCACCTTGGCACCTTTCCTGGTTGACACGACCTTCAACGACCCAAGACACTTAGTATCAAAGGGCATCCGCTACTGGGAGCAAGGATGCTACGAACGTGGCGCTCCTGGCATGACTACGAACGGAACCATGTTCGCTACGAATTCGTAGCCCAGTGCATCGCTACAAACGTAACATCTACTGTAGCAACATCTAGGGCATTACTACACCCATACATTCCATGGGACTGCCACTGCCTACATTGACCACCCAAACCACCCATGGAGCGTCTGGGACATGCAGCTGTTTCTTGTTGTCCCCCGAGTCCGCCCCACAGTCAAGCGCGCGCCCGTGCGGAGCCTGGGATGCGGCGCGGGTGTTTTTTCGGCGGGACAAAGGTGAGGAGGGAGAGGACCGGAAGGGGACGGAGAGGAGGGGAGAGGGCCGTCAAAACAGAAGGGTGTCATGTCTTTTTTGTTAGGAAATGCGGATTGACTCCTTTTTTTTACGGTCCAACAATGTCGAAAAGGTGCTAAAGACATCAGTAGTTTTAGCAAGTCCCCGACCCTAAGGAATATGGTCCAAAGCTGGTCCTGAACACCTCATGTTTGTATATAGTGTTTTGGATTGTTTTGGTATGATCAAATGATGTCATCCTCACCTGTATAGGCTTAAGTGCTAGCCGTGCGGGCGTCTTCCACACCTCCGTGCCGGTCTCCCAGACCGATCGATCTGGGAGACTGGAGACTGTCAGGAAGTGGTCCGCTTGCTCACCAGCTGGGGCTCCTCCTCGAAGAAGGTCCAGAACTTGCAAGCTGCAATCACTCAAACTCATAACACACACTGGGGAATACACACACACACACTTAATTAAGATATATGTGAATGAGGCTTGAATGGCATGTGTATATATATATATAAAATATGTGTGTGTGTTTTGGAACGAATGGTCCGTTGTTGCATGGATGTTGGGCGTCACATATCGACATCTATCTCCACCCATTCCTAGACGCCCCGACCCGCAGTCGGTGAGCTGCCTGAAGAAGCGAAAGCAGTGCCGTGGAAACAGCTGTGGCTTGGCTCGCAGCGGTCAGGTGAGTGTCAGAGACACTCCATGTGTGTGTGGTTTTTCAATTGCTTAGGGGGGTCTTCAAGAAAAGGACCGTGCAATTCAACGCAATTACCACATAGTGTGCGTCATTCCTTTTGTCCTATCTGAGCTTGTGTAAGCTAATTCCAATCAAGCACAGTTGATTCGTCACCGTTTTCGATCTCGGAGCCGGAGTTCATCCATGGTCGCGATCCCGGTTCCATCATGGAACTGAAATAGAAATGAATAGTTTTGTTTGTATACATACACCCTCCAAACCCACCCCAAACACCTTCTCAGCAGGTATTTGGAGGCCTAGGGATATGTTTACCATCATTTACCCCAGTCACCCACCCATCCATGTAAGTAACCGTTATCCAGTCCCACCCTCCTTCCTTGGTTCGGAAGACGAGGTTCTGAGGGCTTGACCTCTCCATTTACCCTCCCATCCCCGGTCCGAGATCGCTAGAGAGTCGGTCCAACGCGTCCACCGTACGACGAACACATCACATCACAAGTGGAAAACCACCTGCTTGTAGAGCTTCCATTGTCAGAACAACGGGCCATGCACGGAAGGAACCGTGAGTCGCTTTGGGTCACGTGGTGAGGGTCTTTTCTGCTCCGGTGGGACCTGGCATCCTGTCCTTTTGGAGCTGCCACATATGGCGCCCCATTGACCCCCCTTGCACCACCACAGGTATGCAAGGTATATATGCCAGTCCCATGGAGTGTTTGGGTATTGGTCACAGGGAGACCCTCCAAGACCCCAAGACCTGACCAGCGTTACTCTTCGATCGTTTCCTCCGGTTGGGAGGAGGTCTCCACTTCGCCATTGGTTGTCGCTAGATTCGCCATAGTTCACCAAATGATCCTTAAGAGCCTACTTGTTCCAATACTGCAATTGAAACAACCCATCTCTAATTTGAACAACGTCTTGATTTCTGGATCGTCCAAAATTGGGATGTTCATGGGTGTTCATTTATCCTTTCGATGATGTCCAACTTGTCTTCCATGTCGTGGTGTCCCACGCCCATCCATGCCCCCCTTTCTTCAGGCTTCAATTGCTACAGCGCCTGCGAGGCCTATCACTCGAAAGATGATGCTTGGCTGAAAAGGCTTTGGTTTCTGAAAGCTGAAGAGGACATGAAAGCTGTGTGGGTCAGAAGATAAACCAATGTTCCCATGGCCTTCTCTTCGGGTGCAGACGAAGAAGGCCGCACAAGGCCGCTGGTTCCCTTGTTCCGGGCATGTCATGACTCCTGCCACTTGGGAGTGGGGGGTGAGCCCTGAAACCACCCCCAATCTAGGAGTATGATAGGTACATAATGATATATTGATATATGTCTTATATATGAAGTTACAGAACAATATAGATATATATATATATGCATATATGATGTATGAATTAATCGAGTGTTTGGGGGTGACGTTTCACGTGGCCCGAGAAGCCGAGAAGTGAAGAAGTGACCTGCGCCCTTGGCTGAAACGGAGGTAGATCTGGTGCTTCCAAAAAGGGTCACCTGGGACCACCCTACCTGTTGCCGGTCTCCAGTGTCTGGGCACCCCAGACAGGAAGTGTTCTGGTTGTTCGGTAAGAACCATGAAATCAGTGGTTGGAATCCTAGAATTCGTGTCTTGAGACCTCTTCTCCAGTGGCCACGGTGAGATGTCGTTCCATGTGATGCATGTGCTACCGCTTGTTCCTTCCACTGCCTGCTTGCTGTTGAGGTGGACACATCACGATGTAGTACGGTAGTAAAGGCCCCTCTCAGCTCAATGCAGAAACATGCAGGCACCCTTGGCAAAGTTTGGACCAAAAGTTGTTAGCCATCACTGGGGAAAAACCAGCTAATTTCTCTTTTTTTTCACTCAACACTGGCCCAACATTCCAGCCCAGTATGCTTCAGTCAGGAGACCTTGGAGAGCGAGAAGCGGGTGCGAAGGGTCCCCAGGGTGCTGGAAAACACGGTATTGGCTTGGGCCATTGGGGCTGCTTGTATTTGAGTGAAGTGGAAGAGTCAAACAAAAGAGAAGTGGAAGAGTTCAAAGATGTAGACGACATGCAGATGCTTGGAATATCTTGGTGAATGCTAGGCCGGCCTCGTCGCGCGAAAATCCACAACCCGGGGAGAAGTACCATTGCTGATAGGGGCGACGTGCTACTGCTGAGCACCTTTCCTCTTTGGTTTCAGGGGTTCCGGAGAATATCACCTTTCAAGAATTTTAGAGATCTTTCAACCAGCAGTTCCAAAGGATTCCTGACTGGAATGATTTCCAGCCCTGTCCAGTGAGTGGATGTGACCGGGGCACCCCGGGCACCCCTTCAATGGGCACCCCATTAGAACTGCCGGTTCAAGAGTATGTGGTCACTGTTGGCTTTGCAGACGAAACCGCGGTCTGTTGGTGGGCAGGTGTTCCTGTTTTCAAGTGGCCATTTGAACTGCCCTTTGCCACATGTTTGCATCCTTGCAGATCGTTTGCCAGGCTCCGGATGATGAACTACTCCATCTTCTGAACTGCTGATGCATGGGAGGGTGGAGGAGTTTCCTCCACGATCTTTGGTGACTTTGTTCGCTCGTGTGGGTGATGAGCACCCCACATTCCTGTCCCTCTTGGAGGAAGACACAGAGACACACCGAAACTGTTGGTACCAACAGACCACAGAAACTGCAGCTACCTGAGTCAGAGGGTCAATCTGGAAGCCCTGTGCACAAAGGGGCACCGTTTTCTCGGAGTGCCGGATTCGACTTTTCCATTACACCCGGCACGGTTTTCGGGAAGCGACCTACGCTAGGCGCGCAGTTCCAGGAGCTTCAGCGCTTCGGTTTGGCACTGAAAAGCGGGCTCGGACAAAGCTTCGAAGACAGCCAGCGGGTTTGGAGCCCCCCTCCACAACGTGAGCCATTCACGTGTTCTTGCTTTGGCTCGACTAGTTGTGACTCATGGTTGGGTTAAACTATGTTTGAACCCGGTTCCATCCGCCCGGTTCCTGGATGAAACCAGCGTTTGTGCATTTTTTTTTCGAGAACCCCCCCATCCGCCTGCGACCCCGATCGGATCAGTGCCATCACGGTCGAAGCATGGGAGACCCCCATGGGTCTATATAAAGGCCTCCGTTTTAGGAGACCATTTCGAGGACACTGGCCCTACAAAGCCCTACAAATCGAGCTATAGTTAGACAGAAGTTCTTTGACATGCTTTAACTACGGTGACAACAAGAGTAGCGCACCTCCACACACTTAAGCCCATCTCCTCCTCTGGCTGTGTTTACCGCCCCGCCCTTCGTGACCGTGGCGACAAGTTCTGCGCGACAAGAAACGACTCTCCGGGTCGCTCCAATGTCTGAAACGACATTGGCCGCGTTTCGCCCGGCCGGGTCTCGGCCTCCTCCGTCGGAACAGCACCCCAGGCCCATCAAATGCTAGGTTCCCATGAAATGCTAGCACGTTCTAGCCAGAGAGTGCTGCAAGTGTTCCTGGTACCTGGTTTTGTCCCTCAGGTGAGTGTTTTTTTGAATACCAGACGGGTGAAACAATCCAGACTGGCTAAGACGACTTGTTCCATTTGACCCGTTCCCTTGTTTTTGAGCAAATCCTCCTTTGACTTGTCATCAAGCACCGATTTCGCCAGACATGTCTCAAGTCACCGGTTTCGCACGTCCAAACCTCCGAACCTGAGTAGCACCGACGTGAGAAAGGTGTGCATATACGAGACGTGCAGCCAGACCTGGTAGGTCTATGATAGTCTAGTGCGTGTGTGTAATTATATGTATTAATTTACAATATAAGTAAGCCCCCCACAACCAACAGCTTTTGCAGGTTTCTTTTTTGCAGTTGTTGCTGGTGTTTGCTCCTCGTTTTGGCCTGTCTTTGCCCAACAAAAAATCATCCCGGCTGCTTGTCCAAGATCCAAAACTCCTGTCCAACAATTGGGGTGTTCGGATTTGCCTCCCTGGGGGGGCTCCCACGAGGCCTTCCGGAATGGAGCGAACATGAAATAGATAGGCTGAATCTCGAACAACCAGCTGTTTGACCAGTTTGATGCAAGGATTTGACACTACAAAACTCCTCTTGGAATTACAGTGGTTTCAGAGGTGAGAAATGGCACTGGCACCCCTACATGTCTTACACACATGGGGGGTTCATATAAACCACCTAATTTGGAGTAACTCGTGCCATCTACTCTGAAACCACTGTAGTAAACTCTAGAAAACCACCTATTCGTCGAGCAAAATGGTCTTCCCGGGGCCTATATGCCATCCACTTCCATGTCAGTGAGTCAGAGTGCCATGTTTTTTGGAGACCCACCAATTTGACCGTCCCAAGCAGCCGTGACGTTCAACCATTTTTTTTCCGATCCCCCTTCTTCAAGGCCCAACAAGTTCCGCCCCGCCGGTGAGGAGAGCCAACAGAAGAAAGACACGGTGGATTAGAAAGACGAGCAACAACATAGACACATGGCTCGATGTTTTCACACAGTTCCCAGAAAGAGGTCCTGCCTTCAAGAGGTCCTTTCGAATCTCGATCAACATCTCAAATCTGAGTTTGGCTGACGGAGGAGACAACACTTGACGGTCTGTATCTTGCAGGCTGCGCTTGTCGGACATCTGCTGCCTTCAGCAGCCCTCAGGGCGGGCAGTTCTCCAAGAATCACGCTTTGCAGCGCAGTGCAGCCTGTGAACAGTGCAGACGCCTTTAATGGCACCGTTAGAACATAGAAATTCTGAGGATCTGTCCAAGAGCAGAAAGAGTCATTCATGGGCGGAGAATTGGCATATAGCAGATTTCATGCAGGCACCAGAGGCAATCAAGATCACAAGGAATGGTTGAAGGTGTATGTGTCGGAGTAATTCATAGTTAAAGTTAATCCAACAAAACTCACCAAACCACCAGGAAGTTGTCTCCGAATACATGCTTGGAATATGTTGGAATGTTGGAATATCTTGTGGGTCATGTTCTTCGGGTTTCGGACTTGAAAATGGACGAGCAACACGGGAAACAACACACGGGTGGCCCGGGTAGTGGCAACACGGTTTCGGGTTGGCTTCGGGTTTTCGGGTTTCAGGTTGGTTTTCGGGTTGGATGATAATGTAGACTCTTGATCATGGTAAAACCTCGTCATATTGGGGGTGTTCAATCGAGAGTCCAAGAGTCTACATAGGGATATGTTGGAGATGTGTTTTTGTCATTGCTGGGAAGGTCATTTTCGTAACATGAAACGAACAACAGACATGGGAATTTCATGAATCCTTCAAAGGCTCGATAGTCATTCATGCGCCCCGCGAACTCTATGGCCTTGGGTCTTTCCTTTTTGTTCCAACCGAATGAACAGAATAGACCATACCTGGCATGGTCAACCTACCCTGGTTCAGGGCCGCATTTTGTTGAGTATTTTGAATCTCTGGTCTGAAGTTAGGCAGATCAGATCAACTGCCATTTTCCAGTTCAGGCATGTTTACCTGTAAAAGAAGCTTTTCCCATCACTGGGTTCCAAGGTTCTATAGAAGGTCCCATGGATGGCCTCTGCGAGAGCCGCGAAGCGCCGCGAAGCCGCGCCTCGTTCACTGCGTGCCACCGTTCGGGAAGGCGGCTGGTCGTGCCCCACGTCGTGAGCGAACAACGGGTGGTCGTGCCCCATGTTGGATGAATGCGAAGAACCATCACCAAGCCGACGTCTATGTTTCAAGAGCCATCTAAAGGGGGTGGTCCCCCAAAAAGACCGCGAACGATGTGTTTCACTTGCCCTGTGAAGGGACAAAGGGTGTGTTTGGACATATTCTAGCAGGCCTGGCGCATGGCGCGGGCCTCGTTCTTGTTGACCGTTAGAACTGGCGGTGGAGTTCTTTCGCTCTGGCGCTCGCTTCATGCGGCAATGTGCGGCTCTCTTCCTCAGCCTTAGAAATCTCCGTCCCGGTGGCTTAGAGGTGGACATCCAGCATCGATGGGCTGACCGAGCGGTGTATTCAGCATCGATGGGCTTGGGGTAGAAATTGGCACGGAACATATTGGAACCTGCCGAAAGCTCACATGGACCATGACAATGGTTTTCTGCAACATGTTTATCTTCTAGCCTTGAGGGTAGCTGGAAAGGCATATGAATCAGATGTGAACAATGTGAAAACGACAGCTGCTGAGGGGAGTGTGTTCTCTTTTGTCTCGCTTGGCTACCAGGGGTAAGATTCTGCGGTCAAAGCTTCTGCTTAGGGGTTTAAGGATTGAGACTCCTCCCAACATTACATCAAAAGGAATGTTCCGTCCTCACTGTTCTGGTTGGGAAACAAGCCAAGACATTGACATTCAGATATTCACCAACAGTGATGATCATTGGCATCTGAAGCCAACAAAAAGAGTTGGCATCTGAGAACGTTCTTCGTGCATGCCGTTTCTTTCGACCCATGGGATGCCCAAAAATGGGGTCCGGCCCGGTGCTTCGCTCCGCTCGTCCGCGGGGAGACGGCAGCGTTCTTGGACAGTTCTGGTCCCCAAGGGATCGGTTTCGACCAAGACGCTGGAGCAGCGTTGAGTGCCCGGTGCACCGGCAGGCTGCGACTTCGGAATCCAAAAGATGAAGCCCATGCCATGGTGCCGTGGTTTTCATGCCATGTTTGGCAGGGTATCCTTAGCATCCATGCCGGTGGTATTAAATATACTTTATTAACTCAGTATGTTGAGCGTGTAGACTGTCGAGATATCTCACTGTTCATTGAACATTGGTTGCGTCAGCTCGCGAGGATTGTTCACAGGTTTGTATCATCTTCGAAGTGCATCATGGCGTACCCCAAGCCCCAAGTACTTACTCTTTTGTCCTTAGTCAAGCAAGTGCCTTTTAGGCTTTGTAGGGCATTATATGCTTCTGGCCATTTCAAGAGGAGAATATATAATCACTAACTCTTGAATGTACTGCAACTTCTCAAGCCAATAGTAGGGCAACATGGCAGCTCCATTGGAAACCCAGATCGCCAGATTCCTACCCTAGAAGTGGGTTTTAAATGGCTTTAAGATGGGTGAGTTTTGATAAATTGTCAGACTACAATTCAATCGCTTCCACTAATTAGTCCCTAAGTTTCTTGTGACACAGGCCTGGCCACTGCCCGCAGACTCAAGAATCTCCAGACTCCCAAAACTCCCTCCGAACACGCCGACGCCTCCCACCCCCTTTCGCCCCGTCCGCAGTCGAAAAGGATTGCCGCTCCGCTCCAACGAAGGTCAGAACGACCACGCGCCAGCGTGGCCTTGGGGTCCACCTTCGCCTGGCTGCTTCAAAAGGCGCCGGTTTGTCCAAATGCGGCTCACGGGCGACGCGGGTTGTCCGGGATTTGCTTTTTCTTAGCAGGTCCACGCATGGCGATGGGTCATATCCGGTGGAACACGTATGGCGATTCGTAGAAAGCGGAACGTTTTTATTAGAAAAACACACGCTTCTGTGCCACATGTGATGTACTCGTACTGTAGGTGTGAAGATACTTCAGAGATGTGGCACTAGGAAGGCGGCTTTATCTTTTAAAACTGAAGCGCAAGTCGAAAGCATTGTCCAAGTTGCCCTGAGGACTGACAGACCTTTTCAAACACCAGCCCTGATATATTCACAGGATGGGCAGGACCTGGCGGCAGGTCCGCCGCTTGGACCCCCCTGTCAGGTAATTAGGTTGGGTGAAACAAACCCTTAGAAGATGGTCTTGGGCGATGGATGATCCTTTGCAGAAAATCCGCCGTGATTCTTTGGTGGACATGTCTACATGATCGCCGTAGCTACGATGCTCTTCTTGTTGAGATTGCTGCCAGCTGCATTCGGGGTGAAGTACCTAAACCTATGCAGCTAAGACACGACTATGAGCTGCTAAGCACTTGCCCAGGAGATGTGTTGAACCTGTCCCATGAGTTCTACTGTAAAAAACATGTATACAGACTCTTGGCTAGTTCGGTGTCCTGAGTACCTATGAGCAGTATATAATGATAGAATAAGCAGTTGATCCGCTGATAGAAGCAGTTGAGTCTTCAGGGATGCTTGTTGCATGCTCCAGAGACGCAAAACAACCGAACAGGCCGGAGATCCCTGTAGAGGCCGGAGATCCCCCAGTCGGGGTGGTTCATGGACACCCCGAATCACAGCTACGGGGCTATACATAGACACCCCGACAGGAGGGTCCTGGTAGACACCTATTAGATCCGGATCATGTAGGATCATGATCCCTACTGACATGTTTTGGAACCATGTGAAACCACCGTCGGGCCGCCGCGGGAAGACCCGCGAAGACCCGCGCGCGACAGCTACCCGCAGGGCCGCAAGCGTGCACAGAGCTTTTTGACCGCGGCTGCAGAGGCAATCCGGGACTCCGATCCAATAAGTATGCTATGTGGTGACCTGACATGGACCCCTCTATTATTCCCCAAAGAGGACATCATGGTGCACGATCCTTTGTTTCTGGTGGATGCACAAAAACCTCCTGTCATTCTTCTCAGCACTTTGCACAAAGCAAGGCTTTAACCACTCGTCGTGGTCAAGGCTCGAAAACATGTGCGCTTCTCAACCTGTCCAAGAACCGGTTATGAGCCCAAGAACGACGCACTGAGGATTTCTGAGCCATGGCGTCAATGCAGCAGAGAAGGAGACGGAAATCGAGGGAAAAGAGCGCTGAAGCGGTTGATACTGGAGCTCCAGCTCAGCCGCAGCTGGTCATTGGAGAAGCGGATCGACGGCTGGATGCACTGTTGGAGGAAGAGAGACTTCGGCAGGGGCTGCATCTGTTCCAGCGGAATCGATGGGGCTTCGAAGGGTGACGGATCACGGTGAAGAAACGGCTTCATCTTCTCGTCTTGCAGGCGGCGGGAAACGTCCTCAGGGACAAGGTGGAGTACCGGTGGAGGCCTTCAAGAAGGGCTTGGGGTGGCTGGTCGGGTTCTCAGGCTTGGGGTGGCTGTCGGGTTCTCACGGACGTTCGCGCAGTGCAGATGGGGCTGGGGCAACTTCAGCAGGCAGCGAGGAGTTCATTTGATATGCTTCACGCAGCACTCCATGCACATGGGATTCAAGGGAGGCAAGGTCTTCTAGCTCCTCTCCTTCAAGAACCTGATCAGGGACAGCCACATGGGGGACCTGGTTTGTTTTCGAACCTTCCACCTCCAGGCATGCAGTCTGGTGGAGTGAGCCAAGAGTTAACGCAGGGAAAAAACCTGCTGTGGAAATGTCTCGGAGACCTATGTCGCGAGGTGTGAAATCATCTTTAGCCTCCTTCCTGCTTTCAGTTGTAGTTACTACCCGGAGATAAGAAAGGAGTTTTTTTCGGGGAACTTGTGAGATGAAAAGCACATGACCAGAGATTTATGTCGGGAGGTTCCACATGACCTCATGACATCGCAGCCACTTGTGTTGGTGACCAATTTCGTTGTTCGGACCAAAACATTTTGCACAATGAAATTCTGACAGTTGTTCATTCTCCTGCAAAAAAACAGTCAAAACGCAGTTCGCAAACCATCCTTTTCGTGGAGTTTTCATGTTTGGAATACTAAAAAGCAGCGGGGTCATTAATGACGCCGCTACCTTTTTTTCCTCCTCTAAGTTTGCTTATTAACCCCACCCCCCAAAGAATTAGTATTATTCACTTCCCTGTTTTTGTGTGCCCCCTTGAACAATTGTTTGGAGCAACGAAACCGTTGAATTTTAAGTAGCATTTTTGCAAACGATTTCCACTCCATCTAACCATGTTAGCTCTGCAAAGGTCTATGTTTGTTCTTTTTGTTCAGCATGTTTTCCTTCACTCACACAGGAGTGCAGCCATTCCGATGAACCAGGTATTGAGATTGGATCCGGATCCTTGTTTTGGCCACCGAACAAGCACTACAATTTCGCCTCTTTCAGAAAATACCAACGAGAGACCCGCACAAGGAAACAGACCTGGTTACCTACACATACCTATAGGTTAGTGTATATAACTTGGAACTTCAAACAAAAACACACACACACACACATTCTCCTCGACAGGCAGTTTCTCGAATTTTCTTGTCCTTTTTCTTCCATGTCCTTCACCTCGGTGGCCCGGTCTCCCCGCGGTCTCCGCGGTCTCCCCGGCGGCAGTGGGCCTCGGGGCAAAAGCTGGCGCGGTGGCCCGACACCGAGGACGGTGGGGCGGAGCAGACGTGGGAGAGCGATGACGGGTTAATAAGAACCTGAAAACAATATTTACGTGACAGAAACCTGAAATTGATGTTGTGCATACGTGCGCCTGTTGTGCAGTGTTTGATTCGATTGGAATTTGATCGTCACAGCTGCGCAATTGCTGACGTTCCAGATGGCATGTCCCAAATCGTTTTTTTTTCTTTGACCTGATATTTATCTCCAGCTAAACAGGCCTTGCTGCCGTGGCCGGAGTTGGTTTGTGTGACTGGCCGTGACCGAACTAGTCAGGCGATTGATCTCAAGTACGGCCACTGTGAAGAACCGGGAGGATTTTGCTACCCAAGAATGATATTAAATTGTATAAAGGGGGACCTGTCCCCCCCTTTGTTGAGCGAAACAATTGGCAGATGAACCAACATGTAACAAACAAACAGTTCCATGCCGGATGTTTGGTGAGAATATGGTAAACTTTTCTGAATTGGCACCGTTTGCCCTGCCATCACGCTGCCCCACTATTCTCATTGTTGCGAAACACATTACAAAACGATAAGGATAGAACAAAAAAGATACCCCCACAAGAGACATCTTCAAAGGCCATCAATGATTTTGTTTACCACCTCAGTTGATGATTTCGTCACCTCTGTAGCCTTGACAGCAAAGTATAGCAAAATATTGACCACAATCGCTGAGGTAAACTTCTCCCTTGAATTGAAGTCAGCCGGTTCAAGCATCCCGACATTGGGGCCGCTGCTTTACTTTGCTCAAAAATCCAGTCCTGAGGTGCACAAAAAAGGTTGTTTTTTTAAATTAATGTTTTTGTTCATGGCCCCGACTATATGGGACACGGACGTCATTCATGAATGTATGCCAGGCGGCGTGCTTCACTGACCGACCCGCTACTCGAAAGTCGAAAGAAGCTAAAAGAAACCTTTAGTTTGGTCATCAAAGGTCATCACACGCTACTTTAGCTCATCAAAGGTCTTTTGATGACCCGCTACTTTGGTCATACCGAAGCTGTCATCATAGCTCCGGTCACGTCGGGTGGCGTCGCGTCCAAGCGCAAAAAGCCGCTTAAGCGTCGATCCGGGCGAGCCCTGCGACGACGCCCTCAGAGTCGAGACGGATCGAAGAGACGGCGTCCGATCCGTAGAAATTTGGAGCAGCAAATAACGAGGGAAACGCGAATAGCTGGGCGTCCTGTCTTTTGTTTTCTTCTTCTATGTGCAGTATTCTTACTTACAACATGCGATCCGCCTTGATACTGACCCTTAAGATGCAACCAACTTCAGTTTTTGCGTGTTTAAACATATGTCACCCTTGATTCCTCGAGACATGAACCTACACAAGGCGAGGGAGTGGGTTGAAAAAACAGGGTCCAGGGAGTGGGTCAATATCGTTAAGGTGATAGAGGGCACATGGAGGATGCAAGTGGAGCAAAGACGTTGCCCAGCCAAAGATGCACACCGCCGGAAGGAAGGGGTGGAGAAGGTCAAAGAGCTTTGGAAGTCTGGCGTGAAGAAGGCCCTGGCAGCATGATGGAGGGAACATGAGGGAACGAGGAATAGTTTCACTTGCTTCGATATTTCTTTGGCTCCGTCTATAGGCTTGTCTTTATCACAGCAATAGTCGTTCTACAGATTAGCTTCCGCCTGCAGGCTGCGGCTGAAGCGCAAAGCACATTGATGTATACACCATGACATAGTATACGTATGGACATCTATGGCCACTGATCTTCCTGACTGAACGGCCCACCGTGGCGGATCGTCCTCCCGAGTGTCAAGTCTCAGGAAGTGGCCTCGGAGGAGACCTGGTTGGACTTGCTGAGGAGTCGGATGGATCGGAGATCGGGCAGCTACGGACTTCTTGGGGGGACATTGCCACGTTCATCCGCGTTTTTGTGGGATGTGGAGACACGCATCGAAGATGGGAGACACTCATGGCCATGGCAGATCAACCGATGGCATCCGATGGCCATATGGCCATCGTCCGATTTGGATGCACTCCGGGATGGCCATGGGGAAGTCTCCGCAATCGAACATTTTCCCGGGTCCAAAACAGATGTGATGACGCGTAGTGGCGACTCCAGGAATGCCTCAGCACCCGGTGGCTATCTGAGCAACTCCAGCGACTATGTGAGCTCTACAGGCTGGGTATGTGAGCTGAAGCACCGATGGTTTCCAAACAGAGTTTGGTTGAATGAAAAGTTGCCCAACTGAGGGGAACAAAAGCAGCATGAACAAGTCCAATAGATTCCAAGAGTGCAAGTAAGTGCAAGTAGTGCTTCGGGGATTGTGCTTTCTTTCAGTTCTTTTTTTTTTATGTGAAAGATTAGAACTACTGACTGTATGACCCAGGAAACTCCAAGTGCCTATGATGATGACTGTAGCTTCTGTTGGAAACAGAGAGCTCTTTGGCGCGTGTGCGGTTCCTTCTCCTGTGTTTGTGATGGTTTGGGAAGTATGAGAATGTCAAGGAGACATAGTGCTATGATGGCCAGAGATGTCAGTAAATACTAAAGAACCAAGCCAAGACTCAAGGACTGGCCCGGTGCAGTCACTGTCACCGTCACTCAGTCACTCACTGTCAGTCACCGCAGCGTTCTTCAGAACGCATTTATTTCACACTGTGCGTCAGGTGTTCCAGTGCCCTCTCTCCTGGTGAATGGTAAGGCCCGGTGGGGAGGTATTGAGGCTTAGGCCTCAAAGACCCAAGTTGGGGGTTTCCCAGTGGTGGCCAACGGATTTTCAGACCATTCAAGTGGGATTCTTCCGATCAAGTGCTATGCTTTTCGGCCAGATGCGGGTCGCGAGTGCCAAGATTCTTCAGCACCAAGAAGGGCGGACCAGTTGGCCAATACTTCGTCCAAAAGTTCACATTTCACCCACCCCCAAAAAGGACCATACCCATAGAAGTCCAGCTGGGACCACTGAAGCAAAGGATCTCCTAGACTCGGATCATCTAGTCAGACGAAAGATCGTCCTGGTCGCTTCCAACTGAGTCCGACTCCCTTCACGGAGTCTGTTTGTCCACACTGAGCTCGGCGAGCCGGTACCGGTGTGTGTAGAGCTTTTATAAGGGAAAACATGGGAAAACCGCACGCGAGAACCGTTCGGATTGGTGTTCTTCAATGAACAAACTCAGGTTGTTTTCCTATAAGCTTTCTTCCACACGGAAACAGACTCCGTTGGCGAGGTCCCGGTGGATGCCGTAGCGAGTTGGCACTCGGGGATTTTCGCCGCTGGCGACTCGGGGGGGGTTCAGGGTTTAGTTTAGGGGGGTATAATTCGATATAATTCGATCCATTTCGATCATATTCGATCCACACGAATCTCTCCACGAAGACAGGGAGAGCTCTCTGAGCTGGGTCACGAGTTGTTGGTCGCTCCGCTCCGACGGCACCTGTGTGCTTTGCGTTGCTTCAAAAGAGATGCAACTCTTCCACTGGAATAGCACTTCCAAGTTGGATCAACCAAACAGTATCTTATCCTTTGAAAGAATCCATGGAATCCACCAGTTCGACCGTTCGATCAATTTACTATACTACAAACCTGCACCACCGAGTTGGGATGGTTATTGGCTGGATTTGTGTGGGTAAACACATGGTGAGTGGCTCGGGGGTCCAACCACTCTGAGAGGGGAGGGAACACCGGACTCAGAACCATCAGAAGGACTGTTTAGTCTACCCACCCATCATTGATTAGAGAAGGCCTAGTTCTCATGTTGCTTGCCGGCCGCATCAATCGAATCCAGATTGAACAGCTTGGATCTGAATGCCAGACAGTTTGCCAAGGCTTTGTATTGGAGAATGTATAGAGGATGTTAAACTCACAGCAGCTGCCTCCCCACAACTGGGAATGTGCATTTATAATTGCGGAACATCGCGGAGCCGTTGTTTCCAACATACTCTTGTGAGATCTTGGTGCCCAGCACTCCTTTTTGTGAAACAGACCATTTGGAGCACTTGAATTGAAGGGGTCCCCAAGGTGTGAAGCTTCTTTTTGATGGTAAAACCCAGCCTTGGAGATCCCAACAGCCGCGAAAGCAAAGTCCTTCTGAGCAACACCACTGGATTGGTGGTCCAAAAGCTGTCCAATCCATCTGCATCAACCTCTTCAAAAGCATTGGTGGGCCAACAGTGGGGGGACATCCCCCCCTTTGGGGTGCAAGCAAGATTTTTTTGGGGGATGGACTTGAGATTCTGCAGATTCCTTATAGATTCGCAAGAAGAAAGAGACCCATGCGGGGGGGTGAAACTACGGTGGAGTGATGATGATTCGCACGTGAAGATTAAGAACAAGAACTGTTCAGAGTGAGCGAATATCACAGAAAGATTCTCTAGTTTTCTCAGAACTTCCTCATCTCAGCTCCCTTGCCGCGCCGACTCGCCATGGGGGCCGCTTTCCCCTCGTCCAACGCACAACACCTGGTTGGACCGCGCTTGGACCGGCGTGGCGCGGACGTGGCGCGGTGACGGACTCCTTTGCCAGAATGGACTTAAGATGTGAGCAATTGGTTGGAAGCATGGAGGGTGGACAAGGGGGGGGACTCATATGTAACTGTGGTATAAATTATATATTTTTATAAGTCTGGAGCCATGACAGGTTCTGGCGCCGGGTCATGTTTTTTTTGTGTTTAAATCGGAACCTGAACTCGTGCTTCCTGTCCTGTCCTGCCAAATTCTTCCGGCCGATTCATTGGTCACCCATCTTGCCTGGAGACTTGCTTTTTCAAGATCATTAAATGTAGGCCAATCAGTGAACCCGTGTTTTATGGCTCCCCAACACTGAAACCTTTGCGACGTGTCGACCACCGCGTGTCGCGTGGCGGGCGGGGGGTTGGTGCTTCGACCGCCGCCGTGGTTTGAGGTCTCTGGACTGGTGGCCGATGGTCTCGGCTTGGACCAGAGCCTGTGTCGCCAGGCGCGAACTTGGGGCGGCTGGGCGACGGCGGCGACGAACTGGGATGGTGCAGTGAAGCACTGTGCTAAGGTTTTGGGTGTTGGAGAGTGTTTTGCGGGACTTCATATTGGTATTGTTGTACATTCTTAGTTTCTCCCTTGAGTACGCCACTGAGTGGAAGGGAGGACTTCATGGGGCGGACTGCAGTGCAGACCGCGAGTCGTGTTTTTGGGTTTTTGGGGACTTCATGCAGAGTTTGTTTCGGGTGTGAAGACTTCCCCCCCCCCCGAAACAAAAAGGTGGAGGTTGTCAAGCAGCCAACGAGGTTGTCAACAGCACGTCAACAACAGCCAGCACAGCTCAGCTGGTCGTCGTAAACAGCTCACTAAAGCAACTGAAGCCTCAATTCATTCCCTGGATTCCGCACGGCGCGACGGTTGTGAAAGAAGTGACACAACGTCTGACACAACAGCTAACTCCTGTTGGACGTGGTGGACATGACTCGTCCAGTATGGAGATGAGAGATTTCAGAGTCTCGTTAAGCCCAAGAGCTTTGAGATCGATTTGAGCGCTATTGATTTCGAGAACGAGGGTGGCCCAGTAGCTTAGCGCACATGTTCTGCGTATATGCCTTCTACCAGTACTACACGGCGTTGAGCGCAAATCGGTGCTACGGGGAAGTTTGCCGAAAGAGAAGACCTGTGCAGGCAAGTCCAGTGAAGAATTTATATATACTTCTTGCGCTGTTCAGACATTGACAGAGGGGAAACCCAAGCCTGGACACCAAACCCCATGCCTTGCCCTTCACTTTTTTCTTTAAGATTGCACAAGACCATTTTGCAACATTCCCTGAAGCAGTGAGGAGTTCATAGGGAGATCCATGGTTCATTGGTCTGTTCCTGAAACAGCGCTCGCTCTGTATACGCTTTGTACCAATGAGTGTAGCATTTTTCTCGGACCAAGTCGCTCATGTGGAGGCAACTGGCAGAGACCGGCCCACCGAGGCAAATCCTGAAACCGAGACACCACGCTCGGCCCAACTCGTCGTGCTTCGGCCCAACTCCGTGGGCTCGCCGCACACCACGACGGCGGCAGCACGCATCACGAGTCAAAAGCGTCTCGCCAGACCTACGAAGATGGTAGCGAGTACTACGGCCAGTCGAGACCTCAATGTACGGTTTCCGCAGGACGCGGGGACGGTGCCATGAACTGGGAGCGGAGTGGCCACTTGAAAGGGGAGTTATAATGAGGTAGAGTCTAAGTCTAAGTCTTTATATAAGGGTTACCAGCACCACGGAAAGGGTGGTTTATGGAGACCCCTGACTGCATTTTCCATCCAATCACCACCCCTTCCGTGGTGCTGATATTAAAACAACATGTTCGGTAGAACACCTGTCCAAAGAGGTCCACGAACACCACTTCTATAGCTGGTAAAGCCACACTGCCCCCAAGTGTGGCTTTAATCTGAAAAAGGTTCGTTTTCTGCAATTGTGGTTTCTAGCCGGCGTCAGATGATTTTCGATGCTGAAGTATACTCAATTCTGTCCTTTAATCTCTTTGGAATTCGCTTGGATCCAATCCATCCAAAACCATCATCATAAAAGAGTATATTTCAACTATCATACACTCATAGGCCATCCCTTTTACCATCGAGTGGAAAGAGAATCTCTTTGGACCTTGACGATCTCATCCTGAGGTTTGCGAAGCGTCAATTCCACGGCCAAGGCAGAAGCAGGGTTCTACTGACAGATCGACCCGGATGTTCAAGATGATGGACACATCCTTGTAAAACAAGAGGGTGAAGCTTCTGCGCCAAAAACGAGCTTTGCTTCCTTAAGGCCCTACTCCTACTCACTACTACACCATAGCTATTATGTACTGCCCAGACACTGCGACACTGCGGCTACTACTTGTATAACTCATACATCAATTATACATCATCGAAACCCTCCAAAACCAGGCCAGTAGAACAGGGACAGGTGCACAGCCAGTTGCACAGCCAAGCAAGCAGATGCTCAGCCTGATACCTGAGGGTTCTGTTCGACCCCCAGCAAGAAAACAACAAAATGAAAACAGCCCTTCGGAAGCCCTTCGATCCTCTTCTTCAAAGCCAGCTTTGTTTTCAAGCTTCGGACGGTTCAAGTCCTCCAACGCAGAGGCTTTTGACCTGGTCCTCGTTCGCGGCTGGGTTTTGACTTCAACCCAACCGCAGGGGTTTGGACCGAGGCTCATACCGATCCAACATGTTTTTTCCGAAACACGTGACAGTGGTGTTGAGAGTAGACTAGATGGCCATGCCGCCACTAAAAAGCACCGACTAGGACCATGTTTTTCATATTGGGAAATATTTCGAACACCCAACTTGGGGTAACTTGTGAACTTTTCCACCCGCCCCACGACGGCCTTCAGGGCGGATGCGCTGGAGTGCCGGCGACGAATACACCGGTGCCTTGGTAGAAGAGGAAAGGCTCCACCGAAAATGGTAGGCTGACGATGGTGGAGCCTAGCAGCAGTTTGTTGGAGTACTGTCTATTTAACTAATTGTATACTATACTATGAAATAAATAAAGTAACGGAATATGAATATGTATGCATAGTTGGATGGCGATTATTTGAAGTCTTCATATGTTTACCGCCAAAACAGGTTTCCCAAGACCATGCCTCCGCCCTTAACAACATCTGTTCTGGTTCGCTAGTTGTTTTTCTTGCAACAGCTGATCCATCGAGCAGCCGTCCACCCACTGATACTGATCAGAGAGGACGTATCCGAACTAGCATGCGGATGTCCAACTAGTGTAACCAATGTGGATGATTCAACCAATGTTCTGAAGGTTCTGAACAGATCATGACCTGGCGATGCCCCACTTCTGTGAGATCCTTAAAACTGCACCGAGCTTTGCATGTGTGGCGCCAGCCTGACCAGATCCACTTCCATGCCGCCCATTCTGTGCTCAAGCCTGGTTGTGGGCTCCATAGACGCGAGAAATCGCGAAGTGTTCCGTTGCTTGCTGAAGTGGCTTGGTTCTTTGCTCCAAAGATGTTTTTATGCTTTATTTTTCTGTCAGGTGCCAAATTCTCTTGGGATGAGCAAACGAGCGAGTGCCTTGCAGTTGTTCTAGTTCCCACATTTGATGACAATAAGGGATTAGTTTGCTGTCATGGTTCTGGGGATTTCCCTTGTTCGGGTGGTTGTGAAAGAGGAATTAAACAGGCAGATATTGAAGTGTAACAGCGTCCCTTGCTCAAAGCATTCCAAAGCCAACCTCAGCGCTACACCCAGCTGTAGATCAAGCATTGGCAGCCTGGAAAAAGGAGCTCAAATGGGGTGTCGAAAGCATGCCCCAAATGTCATTCCTCTGGGCACTTCGGTCGAAAGTGAACCTTCCACCTGGCTGAAGTTTGGACTCTCCTAGGAAAAGATCAAGTGCTTTATTCATCATTGAACCATAGGAGTCCTTTCTTGGAGACACGTTTGATTGCTCAAGCAAAACCAACATGCCCTATCTCAAGCAGAAAAGCGAAGTGGTTTGAACGATGATGTTCCCTCATGTTCCTTGTCCCAGGTCATCCAAAACATGAAGCGCCTCTTTGCCACGTTGCTCCTCACAGCTTCCGCCATTCGAGACACCGAGACGGGCTTCCGCGCGATGGTTGAAGCGAACTCGACGCTAAGCTCGGCGATGTGTTGAAATAGGGAGACCCCCAACCAACTCCCAACCAGCTTTTTTTTGGTGTATGCATGTTTGTAGTACCCACCAAGGGGCTACAACTCTCCCTATTTCAACAAAAACTCCTGTTTTGGTGTGTTTTCCTCGTACAGTGCTTGAACGAAACCATGCGGCACAACCCTTGAGAGATGCTGGAGAAGTGCCATCGAACAGCTGGCGTCGGTCATATGGTGCCAACCACGAGCCAACCACTCCCAGACCATCCATGGGACTGGCATATTGACCTAAATTGGGATGGTTTGGGGGGGGGTCAATGTAGGCATATATATATGGCCGTCCCATGGATGGTCCGGGACTGTCCCCCCTTTTCTTCGCTTCTGACCCTACCAGTCACCCAGAGACGCAGATTTGATCATATATGGAATGAACGAACATATATAGTGACCTAGTGCTGTGAATGTGTAGATTTTAGTTCATGTCAGGAACAAGTAACTAGAACAGTTGTGTGTTTTCTGTTCACTTTCTTCCTTTTTAAGGGTATCAGGTGCAGGTTAACCTTTTAAATCTGCAGTGTGTCAAAACATATCAATTTTGTTGTGCCGGAAATCCGGAAAGTGCCGAAAGAAAGCTCACCCGTTTGGAAGCAAGACAAAGCTCACCATGTTGGTCTCTTTTGGATATGTTGGGCTAAAGGTTTTTGGCCATGAACTTAACAATATCTTAACAATATATAAGCCCAGCCACCTTTCAGGCGAAGGATATATAATAGCCATGTAGGATTCCCCTATGAAATGAGGGGGGTGCACGGACTTCAGAAAACGTTTCATGCCTACCCCTGTGCGGGGGTGGGGTCTTGATTCTATAGAGAAAATCTAGTTTGCAGAGATGGGTTGTCAGTTTTGGCAAGCAATCATGCTTGATTGCATGATCAATCAGACGCAGAGACACATTTGATACCTGAAGTTTGGGAGCTGCTATCACTTTTTGAAGGGTAGTCTTTGAACAGGTAGTCTTTGAACGCAGGAAACAGAGAATCAGACATCACAAACTGAGGTGGGGCCCGGCCATTTTATATAAGTGGTGGGGTAGGTCCCTCCCCCCAAAGTATACTACATGGGGGGTCACCCCTCAACACTTTACATCTATAAAATGGCCCACAGGTCCCCCCTGCCGTATCCTACACGGCTATGATATATATATATATATTATATACATATGTATAGCATGACCCCTCCACCAATTAATGAATTGGAAGGGGGGGGTTACCTACGAATGAGTGTTTTCTCAATTATTATTTTTCTCCGACTATGTGGCGACAATTTTGGTAAACACCTAAGTCAGATTTAAAAATAGAACTTGAGAGGTAGTGGAGAGGTCACACACCCCTCAATTAATTATCACGGAGGGCGGGGTGGGAGGGAGAGAGAGAGAGAGAGAGGAACCAAAGTAACGAAGGACCTAAGGACGTCGATGCAAGTTTCAGAATATTCAGGGTCTAACTATTTATTATAGTTTTTTTAATGTTCCCAGTAATCGAGCTAGCCAACTAATTTATTCGAACCCTCCTCCAGAGGCCAACCCCCCGAGTTCATTTTCGTCGCCAGGTTTTTTGAGTGTGATGGATGCTTTCCTGCTTGCTTTGCATGGCTTTCCTGGCCACTTTCGTTTTTGAGCGCTGCTCACGTATGACGTGGGGGGCGGCTGTGGATGGGGGGGGTTTGCCACGGTTTGTGAGGTGTCGATGAGGTGTCGATGAGTTAGGGGTGCAGTGGGGGGGCCCGACCTGCAACATTTATAGAAACAGAACTATAATTGAGTTCAAAGACGCCCTTCAATTGCTCAAACATCGGGTATGTACACCTTCAATTAGATTAATATATTGATTCAGACGGGGGCCTAGTCGGGCCTAGGGCCCTATCTAAGGCAGGGGTCATGATATATTTCACAGGTGTCCCGTTCAATCCTCTTCGCTCAGAAGAGTCCAGAAACAAATATCCGACAGAAGAGAGCACGAGACTGTGATCAACGGCTGTGATCGACTTCAACATGTCTTCTTTCAGATTCCCTATATGTTTTGCTCATCTTTTTAAGGACATGTTCCTTTTCTTAAATCTTAGGTGTGTGTCACCTATTTCCTTGAAAAAGCACTTTGGTTCCTAAAATGCATGTGACATGGAGGCTGTATATATATTTACACAAGTTCACGATCACGTCTGGTAGCCGCTACCTGAGTCCACCGGACCAGCCGCGACCTGATGCCTTTGGACCACCGAGGAGCGCGACTTCCGCTGCGACGCGGACGCCCATTCGATCGTTGGAGCGCACGGCGATTCAGACCTTCGACGATGAGGATGAGAAGTTCATCCGGATGTTGATCAACATGTGTTGGGGTGGCGAAGAGCCTTGGACGAGCGGAACTGGTTGTTTCCATCCGCTTTTTAAAGATCTGAGGAAGGACACAACGGACCCAACACAGCGCACAGTGCCACACACACACATAGATAGCAGAGATACCTGAAATGGCATGGGGTTATCATGACAAAAGTGCCTCACCAGGGGTCTCGGATGATATGACTGGTTCCTCTCGCTTGGGACACTCAACGAGACACCTGGCTTTTTTGCCTTGGCGCGTGCCTAGCTAGCTTGCGTGGGCTTCGAAACAGAGAGACGAAAACGATCGAAAAGTCGGATGGGAATTCCCTGAAAAGGGATGGAACTCTATCCCCGACTTGTTGGCTTTTGGAAGTACTCTCCTTGAAGTCATCATGGCTGGGAGTGAAAACCACCTGGCCATGGTATTCGCATGTCACCATTGCTGCGGGGCCTGGCGCCATCCATTTTCATAATTATTCTAGGGCATGATTGGACTGAAGTATGATCTCATTTTCACTCTCCTCACTTGTCAGCTAATACTCACTACTCACTACTCTCTGTACACCTCACTCTTTACTCGAACACGCAAAACTGAAGTTCCTACTTCTGACAATTGGGGTGCTCACCCTACACACCAGGCACGATGATGAACTAGCATTTGGCTTATGTTTTTGACTCATTCGACTAGCAAGTTGAAGTCTATACACTCCCTGCAATCATCATGAAAGTGGATGGCATGGCCCCTTGGATGACCATTCTCCTCTACAAGCAGCAAGATTAAGTCTTTCAGAGATTTAAATAGTATAAGTATGTGTATCTATATCTATATATATATATATATATCGTATATATATATATATTTATTTATTTATTTCATCTTTCTGCTTCCTGAAGGTCTAGCTGGGGTGATCTCCATCACTTGAGCGTCCTGGTCAGCCGACACGGGCCTCCGCCGAGGAAAAGCTGTCCAGCTGCATTCGCAACGGATGCAACAAGAAGTGGAAGGCCAGCGAGTACCAGGTCATCGTGATCCATAGTGGGCACACAGACATTTCCACCACCATTCGGGATGAAGATGAGATGGTCAGCTTTGAAGCTGGGCAGCAAAATTTGATCTCCAGGTGAACTTCTCACCAACCTCGGCAGAACGGTGTGACCAGTAGGAATAAACGTTGGAATTCGTGAAACCCGGTGGATGGCAGGTGAACTTCTTTGTTTCCGGAAGATTTCAGTCCAGCACATTCATATATATATATATATATATCCCTAGGCCTCCAAGTACCTCCTGAGAAGGTGTTTGGGGTGGGTTTGGAGGGTCCAGTCATACCTTCTGAGGAGGTACTTGGAGGTGTAGGGTATATAATATATATATATATATGGAAGAGAGTAATTATACGTGCGGTCAGGGCTCATAACTGGGGTCAAGACATGTTTCTTCGTGCGACACGCCCGAAACAAAATAAGAAAGCATAAGAAAGCAATGGACATGGAGTTCACCTGTGAGTTCTCCATGTTCCAGTTCCATGTGAGTCAGTCAGAATGTGACTCTTCCCGTCCGATTTTGAGCACGGACAGGACCACCCTTCCACCATCCAATGTCCGGACTACCCTGCACTGCTTAGGGATCTGCAAGCAGGACACCCAGACAGGATGGTCCAGGTTCCTGAATCCTTTTCCTTTGGGTGGCCGTACCATTAAGAAAGAACTGGACTCAGAGGTTGAACCTTTGAACAGCGAGACAAACGGTCGACGACCAAACACAGCACGCCAGCGACTGACCACTTGAACACCCCGACCTCGCGTGCGAGCCTGACAGCCTGAAGATCAACTCCAAGTTGCTACATCGACCAAACCAGATGCTGTTTGTGTTTGTTTGCTTTTGCCCTATAGATGGATCCATATATACATTGGACACTCTTTCATATGTACGACTGGAGGGTCCTGTCGTAGCTTCTGAGAAAGGCAGTGGATTCCTAGAGGCTTTTACTTTGCTCTACCGTCTGTGGGGTCGTTCGCCCTCCCGTCCTCGGGACTCGGGACTCGGTCTTCCGGACTCGTTGCACCTGTCACTTCGCTCACCTCAGGAACTCTTTCCGAAGGACGGCAATACAATTGATATCCACATCTTCTGCAAAGTCTGAGAAGGTCTCAGTAGCGTTTCCCAGTGGTCGAAAAAAGGAGGAGCCGGCTAACGGCTAGCCCGCCCGCCGACGAATGAGCGTGCAATGCCACCGTCCGTGTGATATGTCAAAAGATCGTGCAATGCCAGGGGACGAAGTCAAGGAGCAACTTGCAAAGGTAACATGTGCAATTTCCAAGAAGGAGCATGTTTTATGAAAGTTCCCTAAAAAATCTTGAAACTTTGGTGTTCAAGGTAACTACTCAAGATGTTGTGAAGAGCGGTGATGTTTGACCATCTCTCATGTGGTCCTGCCAAGTAACTTCTATTGCTTGAGATAGACCGTCTGCAACCGAAATGGTGGAGGAAGAACTGGGGTCCGGAAGATGCAAAAGTGAGTTTCCAAAATGGCTTTTAGACTTTTGTATACACCCAGACCATTCACACAACAAAACCCAGACCCAAATATACCCAAAGAGAACCTCCACTTTCTTGCAAAAGGCCCGCCCTTGACATATGTTATGTTTGCAAGTTCCTTTTTGCCACCCCCATGGATTCGGTTCTTCTTCCTTCCCACTGGAGTCCGAGGGCGATTCTCGCGCTTTCGCCTCTCAGGTTGTTGGGTGAACGGAAAGATGCATGGCCAGGGTGTCTACAAGTACTATGACGGCAGGGAGTCCTAAAGGACAATGGAAGACGGACAACGGCTGGTTCAAGGAACGGCAGACAACAATCCAGTCAAGCGCTACTTTGGGGACCCAAGAGGTCAAAGAGGTCATTTGACCCCAGGAAGTCTGCAGGTCACTGAAATTTGGGGGACACCCCCTTAAGTAAGCAGTTCACAGGGGGAGTCCAGGGTGAGTCCTAAGAGCTGCTCGGGAGTCAGTTGCTCGAAATCGGCGCAGCACATATTTCATTGAATATTGTGTAGACGCCATGTTGTTTCTTTTGAGAGGCCAGGCGTGCCTGGCCTGGCTCCACCATTCGAAGCGGGGCCGAATTCTCACACCGTTGGGACCTTCAGCACCATGACCCGAGAAAACCCAAAGGCCGCCACGCGCCACGCGCCCTGGGGTCTCAACTTGTTGAATTTCAGTCCCCAGCGTGACAGCGGTCCGCTGTTTGCTCCAACAGCTCTCCAGATCACCAACTGCGGGGTCCTTTCCGTCCGTTGATGCTCCCAAAGCCAAAACTGGGCACACTCCATCACGTTTCTCTGGGAACTCGAAGCCCGGTTCGTTCCAGGTACCAGATACCAGGGCGAGTTCCGAGAAAATCTTCGAGAGGGCTACGGCATTTTGACGGCCGGCGGTGCACGTCAGTGTTTTGTGGCGTGCAAATGGGGGCAGGGCTTGGCGAATGAAGCGAACATCTCGGGAAGATGGGATGAGTTAACCATGTTGGAACCTACAGTGGGACAACAAGCATCTGACAAGCTGTTTTGGTGTGAAATCACGGGGTACAGGGTGACGTGCTTCGTGCTGCACGATGTTTTTTGGGGTCCAAAAATTGGATGGCCAAGCACGGTAGAGCACCATATCTCCACTTGCAGACCGTATATACTGATTGCTTCGGTTCTCGGATGCTGGTGTGGGGTGCCGAGCTTCGGCCTGGGGAGCGTCCAGTGTCGTTCCGCGTCCAGTTCAACGACGGAAGCCTCTACGAGGGCGGCTGGCATGAAGACGTGCCGGAGGTGCACCACGACCGTGGCCGTGGGGGGGGGGGGGCGTGTTTGGGGGGGCGTGTTAGGGTTTTTATGCTGTGCTGTGGTAGGCTGTGGTTTGGACGATCTATTTGGATTAGACATGCGCTTCTTCAAAAAAGCATGCGACTGGAATGACTTTTTGCAGGGGGATAGGCTGTTTGGTCAGAATACATCCAAACATCGGAACCTAGAATACATTGCTTTCTATCCTTGATGGAAGATGCATGCAGTGCACATGTGCCGAATTCTAGCACGATTCCGCATTCCCAAATGCAGCTTGAGAATATGGACCCCCATCTTTTCTAAGACATCTTAGGCTGCCAGTGCCATCGAACCTCTGATGGGTTTTTTCTCGGGATGTCAAGTTGGGGATGTCTTGGAAGCTACAAGCGCCGCAAGGAGTCCCGCTGGAGCGTGAATTGGATGTGAAGAACTCACACTTAGTCACCGGCCACGCTGGAAGCGGCCACACACTTATCACTTACCAGTGTTGTAGGTCTGGAGGGTGCTGTGACAGCAGGTTTCATTGCCACTATGGGTGTATGATGGATCACGGAGTATACGGTATACGTAAGTGTATATATATATATCACTTTATCACACCAGACAGTGAAATTAAGCAACCAGCAGTCCATGGTCAGTGGGAGATCCTTTTCATTCCTTTTCTGGGGCCGGTGAGGCCTGGAGTGCTGAAGAACCACCGCCTCGAGTGGTCGTTTCAGATATGGGGGTGTTTCATGGCAGACCGACTGGTGGAACCTCCCCCAGGTTTGGACTGGTCGTTCGCTAGAGGGTGGACGACCAGTCCGTGTCCAGGTTTGGACCCGGCCCCCATGGCCCCCAGCACCTGAGCCCCGGTCACCTGGCTGGAAGCCCCTACTACTTAGGGACCTCCAGACAGGACACCCTTGAAGGTCCAGGTATGTGTTTCTGTTCAACCTGGCCTCTTCTGACCTGATGTGACATGAAACATCAGGACCTGAGCGGTTTCAGAGATGTGCTTTAACATGTATTCAGCCTTTTCTTTACATGAGATGACCATCATCCTATAATATCCTAATATACTGTACTTGACATATATACTGACACATCCCTAGGTCCTCAGGCCGTGGTTAGACCCCAAAAAACCACCCACCATGGTTACATCTTCTCAGTAGGTAGGCCAGGAGCCTTTCGGTGGATGGACACCACCGGATGGGCTGGGCAGGGCCTCGACTCGATCTCGGCGCGATCTGCGGAATCTGTGGAATCCGCGTCCAGGGCGAGGGCCGCGTGATCTACTCCAACGGGCAGGCGGTCCTAAAAACCCTTTGAAAGGGATGGTGAAGCGTCTTTTGAGGGGAAAAGAGGGGTGACCGGGCTTGGATGGACATACCAGAAGAGGATGTTTTAGTAGGTTAAACGATATTTCAAGGATTCAAGATGTCCAACATTTACAGTAATTCTATTATTAGTCCATTTCAGCGCCCCAGCCACAGGTGGAGCTGATAAGATTGATCTCATTCTATACACGTGGTTTGGTGGACAGAGCTCAGTGGTTTTGACGATTCCATCAACGGATTGGTCGAACATATTGGGAACATCTACAGGAACCTATGGCTTTCAGCCCAAAACTATGGCGTTTGCTGTAAAATGTACCTTTTAAGCCAACTCTGAAATTCTAGATTGGCATCCCTGAGGTAGCTCGTCATATGCACCCATTCTCTTCAGAATAGGGGTATACTGGTGTTCTGGCAGTGTTCACATCCTAGGCTGTATACTGTCGGTGCAGTTCTGTGCAGTTTTGTTTTGGCATCTTTTTCGTTGTTTCTTAGAATGTGATGAGTGGTGGACAAAAACCTGCATGTTCTCTCAATTTCTCTCACAGGGCTTTCCAATTGAAACCTAGCTGTGTTTGGGTGTTTACTCCTTTTCTGTTGATTCCTTTCTTCTCCCCGGTTTTGCTGATGGGGCGATGGGTGGTTTTCGCGAAATGGGTCAATCCCCTAACCTGGGGAATCATCCCCAACCCTCCATCATTGACCCCTCAAACCACACCAACTGATCGGCATATATACCATACATGGAGCGTCTGGGATATGTTGTTTTTCCTGGCGTCTCAAAAAATCTCAGCCAATCCAACGTGTCCGTCCAACGTGTCCACTCGCGTCGGGTCTCGGTCTGGGGTGTCCTGGGCATCGCCATCGCATCGCAGATCTTGAACACCACCTTCCGTGCGGGCCAGCAGAGTATGGAGCACTTGGAGAGTTTGGTCAATGAATCAGCGACTTGGTGCAAGCGGGATGGAGGTGTGTCATTGGTGGTCCAAGTGGCTTGAATGGAGGAAAGGATGGCTTTCCCAAAGGTCCAAGATTGAAGTGGATCACAGGGTGACCTACTGTAGTACAGTCTGTAGTACTCAGATCAGGTAGCCTCAGGTAGCTCGATGTAACCATGACTTCAAGATGAACGCGATCAAACTCACGTGCCAAACTTGGTCCTTTGTGCTTTGGTCCTTCAACCATGTTCAATCTTGTTGAATCTCCCAGGAGTTACAAAGGGGTGGTGTTTGGGCCCATCCAGTGAGTGGATGTGACAGGGGCACCCCTATCCTCCAAGTTCGGCACCCTGGCATGTGACTGCTGGTCCAATTCTTGACATGGCTCGAGCACCTGGTGATGTGCTCGAGCCGTCGCTTTTTTCGATCCGAAGCAGACGATATAAACAGAAGACATTTCTTCGACCGACCTTGCATCCATCCGAAATTCGCGGACCGGAGCCGGCCGAATGGAGGGCTGAAGGAATGATTGCGATGGGAGTCCCAGTCTTTGTGTGTGTGTGTTTGTGTTGATCTTTTGTTCTTTGAATGTGTTCTTGATTCTTGTGAGCAGCAGCAACAGCCACGTATTCACAACCCATGATGATCATAGCGGTTTGTTTCAGCCGCTGTTGCTCATCACTTGGAGCGAAGCGTTGAAAGGGAAGGAGTCTTGAGAGATTCCATGAATAGCTGTCCTTGTGCATACCTGAGATCACTGGTACGAATGGTCGAGCGATAACATAGTTTTCGATCATCGCACTACTGTTATTGGTTTCTATACCAGACACTTCATGTATTGCATATTGACATACATTGACACCTTTTCAACCACCCTTAATGTAAAGTTATATATAGATGATCCCATGGTCCAAATGTAATTACAACGAGCTTATATCCGTATCCTCAGATCAACTTGCCGGGCCTCAAGCAGAGAAACCTAGACGTGGAACAGGGTGGCCCCAACAGTTAAAGGTCGATGATCTCCGTAAATTCTTGTTTTGCTTGGGAAGTAATATGGTCAACCGGGCTTTGTGGGTTGTCAACCGGAGAAGGAACCGACTTTGTTCGACGAAAGGAGCCTCCATTGCCTCCAGAAGTTGCGCTGCAGGGGGGCCTCAGGGGGGCGGAAGCAGGGAGTTGCTAGCAGGTCTGAAGCAAGTTCCTCAGACACCATAGGTGTTCGAAGTGTTTGTTTCACCGATGTTGACATCTCTCGAGGTTTTCGTAGGGGCGTGGTTTCAAACCCGGAATGTTCACAAGCCTTTTTGGCACGATAGTATCAGTATCCCTGGGGTCTCCAACTTTCTCAGAGGCGCAAAACTTGTGTTTGGTCAGTAGGCTCAGAGAGTTGAACTGCTTTCTGAGGAGGTCGTTGAAGCCCTGAGGGGGTCGCAACGTGTATATATGTGTATAATATATTAAGTCATAGAGTAATTATTTGACGCGTTTGGCGGAGTGTTACAGCTTCTTCTAATTTCAGATTCTGGTGATGGTCGCCGATTTACGAGTTTGACTTGCCTTTTTTTTCCATGATCAAGGGACTCGTAAAGTGGAGAACGGTGAGAACAGCATCAAAGCGAGCCAGCACTTCCAATCCTCCAGTCCCTTCCCGTACAGTAGGTCAGTAGGTATTATCAGTTTTTGTTGAGTGTATAGGAGCCCAGAACAGCTGTGAAGAGTCATATCGGTGGTGTCCGGTTCCAAGAATCGTCCGTTTTGTTCGGGTTCCTGAAACCGGTCTCCAGCCAGCTGGGTCTCCTGCTTCCTTTGTTGGACACAAAAGGACATATGCTTTTTGGGGCTCCAAACCCTACCCTACCCCTCCAAATACTTTCTGAGAAGGTGGGACTGGGGTGGGTGCCAGGAGGGTCCAGTCATACCTTCTGAGGAGGTACGACTGGAGGTGTAGGGAAAAGCTTCATGTCATCAATTCATACCAAAGCCTCCTGCGGCCGCGAGTCGTCGGTCGGACGGAGCGGATGCGACCTTCTTTGTATAGCGGTAGAGTGGGAGCGAGGCACCTGGATGCATTGGTCCGTCATTCACTCGTTCCAGCTAGATACCCCACTACACGGTCGAACAGGCGTCATAGGTGGGATGGCAGCCATTCCTGTGGTTGGGATGGCACCTCGTGGTGGGGTATTCGGTGCGAGGCCTTTGTTTACCCATGATGAGCTCCGGCTCTAAGAGCCCCGGCTGCTTCTGGAGCCCGGCTGGACATACCCTCCAAACTTGGCAGTTCGCCCTCGATGTGTGGTGGTGCCTCATTCGCGATCGTGGGACGGTGGTGTCCTTGTCAATCCGAGCCGGGCGTGATTAGAGACTAGTCGAACGACAGAGCTGAGGTCCGGTGATTAGAGACTAGTTAGGTATAGGCGGCTTGGAGGGCCCAGATACTTTCTAAGAAGGTGACACTGGATCCATAGGGATTAGAGCCCCACAAAGCTCTCGTGACGCCCTAGGGCCTTTACCACAGAGGCCATCGCCGGGAGCCCCGTCCATCGCAATGGGCTTTGGAAGGAAAACCCTGTTCTGTCCATTGGGGGGCAGAGGGACAAAATAGAACGGAACTTAACAGAATAAGACAAGATAAAATAAACACACATATATATATATATATAATATCTTATATAATATATATATATATTATACATTCTTTAATACTCAAGTATATGACTTTGATTTGCGTATATTTTGTCACATGTGTTTTTAGATGTCCTCTGCAGCCTTTTGGCCAACCCGACTCACCCAGTGGAAGTCTTTTGTTGGCTATCCCGGCTCCTAGACAGCAAATTCAAGTGCCGGGCCTTGTTAAATCCAAGTGTCCTTCCTTTGGAACAGTTATATAGAAATATATGTGGATCGAAGCATGAATCATAGTCATAAGTCGGTCAGGTCAGGTACTAAACACTAGACCTTGGATCATTGGAACACCAATCATCTCACACAAAGGGCATGTGTTTGTTCTACATGTCTAGCCACAGGCCATCCATTTTTCCTTCGCCGTCGAGTTTTTTTTGTTGTTGGGTAGCACAAAGCAATTGTGCGCAGTGACACAGAGCTGGCGTCGACCGAAGGTCGGGCTCAAGTTTTTTTTGTGGTTGACACCGAGGATGGTGGAAACCAGCGGCCCGAATGCCATGGCGCTGGAGATGGCGCGGTGGCTGCTGACGCGGAGCCGGACCTATCCCACTGAGTGGGATGGGCTGGGCGACATCTTCACCTGCCTATGGAATATTAGCAGGTGTCAATTCGTGGACAACCGGACGAACGGCACTTTGCCCATCACGATGGCCGCCGTCACTTTGGCCCGTGATACTGCCGACGAGGTGCACCCCTCCTTGATCCGCCTCACGAAGCACGTGGGCGACTTCTACAGTCCGCCCGAGATTCGGCCACGGCCTTTGATGGAGATCTTCAGCGGGTGGACCAACATTCGTTTGGAGACTTGGGTGGAAACGGCCGCTCGCAGCATCCACGTGGTTCGAGGACTGCGCCGAGGAGCTCACCTGACCAATGCCTGGCCCATGGAGTTTATGTTTGAGACCCTGTGTGCATACCTTGAGGACGCACACCTGATCGGCCGCACGGCAGTCGTGAAGCGAAATCGCCAGGTCGCAGCGATCGGTGATGCCATGATGGCATTGGCGACCCAGGACCCAGATGACTTGCGCCTGGCACGTCGCCGCCTCGAGTTCGAATCACCATAAGCGTGAAACCGGATGCACGGATTAGGTATGAAAACTCGCTCGATGCCGGTCGGTGTTGGGACCTTAGTCAGAGACGAACACCTGGACTGACGCTCATTCGTCAGATGTGCAGCACTTAGATTCGGTGACTTGGTGTCGATCGTCGGATCCCCACACCCCCTCCATCCATGTTTTGATTCGCACCCTTTGTGCGCTCACCACAGCCGTTAGCATGGCTCTGGCCGATCGATGGAACACCGTGATAGCGGCCTGCGAGATAGCGGCCGTCACACGCATCCTTCCCACGCTGGTCGAACTGGGCTGGACATCGCCATCCGTTCTGGCAGCTCAACGACCCCGATGGTCCAGACTCGACCTGACTGATGAGGAGACATCCATGCTGCAGATACCCTTGGCCACCTGGCTGGAGACACACCAGGATGGCCCACCGAAAGATCCACGCCGAGACCTTCCCAAGATCAATCCCTCCACGGGGGGGCAGCCTCAAGCGGGCCCTCGAGTCAGCACAGGCCAACCAATCGGACCGGACCTTGAAATCCTTTCGGGAGGACATTTGGGCGAGGAGCAACTCGCACCCACACAACAGCAGAGTCAAGACATGGGAGACGATCGCCCGAGCGTGGCACGTGCCCCCATGGCCACTGACCCCGGACCTCATCGAGAAAGTGGGGGCCTCCCTCAAAGCCGGAGGGTACAAATCAGCCAAGCTGTATTTCAGCGCAGCCCGACGCGAACACGTCGTTCGCCACGGCGACATCCCTGTCGAAGTCGAACTCAGCAGGAAGGATGCCGTGCGGAGCATCGAACGCGGCTTGGGCCCCTCCAAACTCAAGGACTCGTTTGACCTCACCTTGCTTAGGACACTATGGGACCTGCCCGACTTCCAGCGCATCGAGGACGACTACATCATGGTGCTGAGCGGCTCCTGGTTCCTCATGCGAGAAATCGAACTCGCGAACGCTCGAGCCTCTCACGTTCGTTTCGAGCATACCTCCTCCGACCACCCCGTTGTTCACTGGAGCCTTCCCGTGTCAAAGACGGACACAAAGGGGGAGATGATCGAGAGATCCCACGTGTGTTCCTGCTCCGCAGGCACCGAACCTCTGTGCATCGTTCATGCCCTGAGGCGTCGGATCGACAAGATCGAGCTCATGACCGACCGCACACCCCTCTTCCCGGACAGCCGAGGTCACACCAGGTCCAAGGCGGACACCATCAAGGCCATTCGAAACATCATCGGCCTGACAGGCACCGAGACCACCCGGGTCGGACCCAATGGACGCTCCCTGGAGCGCTTTGGTGGCCACTCACTGCGGGTGGCGGGATCCCAGTTCCTGGCGGCTCATGGGGTCGACACGAACACGATCCTCCTGCTGGGCTGTTGGAGCTCGCATGCCATCCAGAGGTACATTCAGGAGGCATCACTCCTTCGACCGTGCCGACCGCTTGGTCACCCAGAAACCCCCGATGCACGACCCTCGTTCGTGCGGGACACTGACTTGGCGGAGCTCCGCACCAAACTGGAGAGCCTGGCCAAGAAGGTCGCCTCCTTGAACACACCACCGAAATACGTGGTAATTCGGAAGGCCCACCTGCCGGACCCGCGAGAGAACGGGGCCGTTCCGGCCGAATGGCGCACGAAGTGCGGGCGACCATATGGATTGACCCGCTTCCGGCGCTCGGACCGACTTGACCAGCCATGTAGGCAATGTTTTCCCGACACCCCCGAAGCCGCGGGGGCTTCCTCCGAGACAGAGGTCATGGACCGCCAATCCGACGAGTCCGAAACCTCATCGACAAGCAGCGATTCCGAGTGAAATGCCCTGCGCCGCACGGATCGAACGCCGGCGCGAGCGTACTTGGCCCTACCGAGCTTTAGACCACCAGGCCCCCACTCGTCACTGTCGTGCACTTACCTGGCCACACCAAGCTTTAGACCACCAGGCCTCTGGGGAATCTAACGGTTCCGAAGTCGTTCGCATCGTGGCCCCCCCCGAGACGAAGACCCCTGAGGTTCCGAGGACCCCTGTGTGACACACCATTCTCGGAGCCGATCCCTTTCATGGATCAGGCAACTTGGGACGACGCCTCGTGGGCGCCACCCCCGCAACCAACCTCGATGCGCGCCATGTCGGCCGAGCTCGCAGCGCTTGCAACCGCATGCGGCCTCCCGGAGAAGCTGCACGGGTACCTGCGAGCCAAGCAGGTCCTCTCAACCGGACTTCTGGCCGCGATGGCCGACTCCTTTCAAGAGATTGATGAGCTACTGTTCAAGCCCCTGCTTGAGGGCGAAGAGATCGAAGGCACAGAATGGAAGATCTCCTCCACCGAAGGCCCGGTGGTGAGGGCTGCACTTCGGTTCCTGTGGAATCAGTGCAGGGACAAAGGCGGCATGCACGCCCAAGCCAGTGGCGCCAATAGCCAGCCACTCGGGTTGCCCCCGCCAGCAGGAGGAGGCCAACCGACCGAACCAACGACGAGCAAATCGGCACCCACTGTGCCGCGGGAGATACCTCCTCAAGAACTCCAGAAGCTCGTGAAGTTCTATGCTGACACAGAAATTGCCGGACGCCAGCGTGATTTTCCGATGAAAATGCTGGTCGGTGCCGAACGGGTCATGGCCCGAATCTGGCACGAGGCGTGGATCTCCCACCAATTCACGCCAACACAGCTCCATGAAATCCTCGAAGCGAGGTGCTTCGACAGTTCGGGCTCTCTCAACTCGCTCAACAAAGAGCTCCGCCAGAAAACTCAGAGCCGATTGGCGGTCGATGAAGAGCACAACACGATAGTGATCGAGGAGGAGCAACAGTGGAGCCCCAAGGGCCTCTTGAGTTTGATGGATGCCCTGCAGGCGATTGAGCTCTGTTGGACCCTCTGCCAATTGGGCCATGAACTCGACATCAAGGCCTACATCAACTGGTGGAAGCAACTCTTCCGATCCCGACCGGGGAAAATCGAGCAGTTGAAGACCTACTGGCTCGATGGGGGCTGGCGGATCGCCCTGCTGATGCGCCAAGGGCACACCTTCGCCCACTGTACCCAGACCCTCATGGACGACACGGGCGCACTCCAGGCCGCCTTGATGAAGGAGCTCACCATCGCGAAGCCCCAGCAGACGAAGCCACAGGCACGGAAGCCCCCATCGAAGGGCAAGGGAGGCGGCAAGCACGACCGCCAGGAGTCATCATCCTGGACCTCACCTCAGTCCTCGCAGGATCGCCCATGGAAACGAGAGTGGCCGCAATGGAAGTCCAGTGATGCATGGCAGTCCCAGCCGTGGAAGAAATCCTCGGCGGGGAAGCACTCTGGCTAGGGACAGCACGGGGCTCCCCCCTGAACCAGAGGGAGTACCCGGGCCGAAGCGGCAGAAAACACTGACACCACAGCCTGACAGCCGGCTGAGTCGATACATCGCCCCCGGAACACCCACACCACAGCCGACCGCAAAGGCCTGGATCGTCCTCAGTGTCTTCGACGGCTGCGGGATCGCTCACGAGGCTGCCGACATCGTGATTGGCAGTCGCCGCATCTGGCACCGAATCTCCTGGGAGATCGACGAAGCCTGTGTGGCCATATCGTCCCACCGATGGCCGGACCTCGAGCAGAGGGGTGACATCTTCCAGGATGAACAGGCAGCCCTGAAGGCCCGCATCGACGAGATCGACCCGAACCAGGAGTGCACGATCCTACTCACGGCCGCACCGCCGTGTCCGGACTTCAGTCGAATCCGACCTGATGCCCCAGGCAGGGACGGCCCCGAGGGCCAGAAGTTCGACAACATGCTCCGCTGGTTCGCGGCCCCGAGCGCTCTCTTCAGGGAGAGGAAGGTCCTACGCATGATCGAAAACGTGATCATGAGCCGCAAAGCGGATCTTCGCCACTTTGAGGCGGAGGTGGGAGTCCCTGCCATCATCATGGATGCCCAGGACTGGGGACTTGTCAAGAGACCCCGAGTCTTTTGGACAGATGCTGGGTGGCAGCAATTTGGCGAGACCGCCATGGGCTGGAGGATTCGATGGACGAAGCTCTATGACACAGATCACCTGACGTTCGAATTCCCCCCCAGACCCAGTGGCATCCATTCTGCCTCCTAGGTGGAAGCCCCCGAAGTGCCTCGAGGAAGGCAAGACCCTCCCCACCCTGACATCCCCAGCACCAGGCCCTGAGGGACGCCCCGCGCCCAGATCCGTGAAAGGGAAACTGGACTCTGCCACGTTCCACCGATGGGAACTGTCCGGGCGCCAATTCGCCCCATGGCACTTCCGCCAAGAGAACCTGTTCGAGAACGAGCGGGGTGAGCTCGTGACACCGAGCATCCTGGTGAAAGAGCGCCTCCACCACCTGGAGGACGACTTCACGGCACCAGCCCAGGACGACAGAGAACGACACAAGATCCTGGCGAACAGCTGGCATTTAGGCACCGCCATCCTGGTGATGACCATGCTGACCTGCTTCCCAGCAGCGGAGGCCTCGCTCCCGCCGGGGCCGGAGCTGGACCCGCTTGGACACACAGCCATCGACACCCTGGCATCGATCTGGGCATCAGGACCACTCGCCAGTGGACCGCACAAGGGGGAGCAGGGCGAACACTGGATGACCCAGTGCACATGCCTTCACCAACACTGGCAAGCCAGCTGGCTCAGAAGCCACCCGCACGATGTGGCCGACCCACTTGAACCGGGCCTGACACAGACCATCAATTTATGGCACCAATGGCACCAGCGGCTGCCAGCCCTCAGAGCACAGCTGATCGAGGAGATCACGGACATGGCACTGGACCTCGAGGACGATCTCCATCCAGGCCTGGCACAAATTGAGACCCGAAAACATTCGAATCGTTCTCGATCCATCAGGCCCGAACCGAATTCACTTCCCACTACTAGCCCAACTCCTGCACAAGTTTGGGTGGGAGGACCAGAGATTGCTAGCCGAGATCCAAGAAGGATTTCCAGTGCTGGGCAAGATGAGCCCAGGCCTAGGTTGGGAAAAGAGACAAGACATGAAGTACGCACAGCCGATGCGTCTGTCGTCGTTCATGCAGTTGAACGAAGAGCATGTACTGTCCAGAGTGCACCAGACAAAACCGGATAAGCACTGGCAGTCACTGCTGGAGGAAATCTCGAAAGACATCGAGAAACAGAGAATGATCGGTCCCCTGACAGCCCCACCGAGCTGGGGCATACGGACAATCCCCTCCACTCATCACCCGAACACACAGGCACTGAAGGAGGGGCCATCACACCACGTCCCCACAAGCTTTGCATTCTCGGTCGAGCAGACCGGCGCCGATGGACAGACCAAGGTCCGACGGTGCGAGGACTGGAAACGAAGCAGGCACAACGAGACAATCGAGGGGGAAGACATCCCACCAACACATAGGGTCAATACATTCATTGCAGTCGCCAATGAATTCCATGCAAGAGGATTCAGCACACACCTGTGGGGGGCCGACCACGAGTCAGCATACCGGCAACTACCAGTAGCCGAACCCGATCACACCCACGTGTTGGTCAGAATCCCTGGGGGGTGGACGCTTTGGAAACATAGATGCCTCCTGTTCGGGAGCACAGCCTCGGTGTGGTCGTACACACGCACAGCAGACATGATTTGCTGGCTATGCCGTGCCCTCACACTTTCACCCATGGTGCACTATGTGGACGACTATGCATCGATCGAACCGGAACAAACGATCCAATCGGGCTTTGATTGTGTGCACCACATCATGAAGCACGTGGGCTTCAAATTCAAACCAAGCAAAGACCAACCCCCCGCCCCACGGCACTTAATCCAAGGCGTCATCATGTCCATCGATGCCACGTCCTTCACCGTTAGCACCGAACTCGGTCGCATGCAGCGCATCACAGCACAACTGCGCGGACACTTGCACAAGGCCACAATGTCCTCGGATGAGGCCACTCGATTGGCCGGCAAGCTCCAATTCATATCCGAGGCTACCATGTCCCAGGCCATACGCTGTTGCATACAGCCACTGTATGCACGCGCAAGTGCACCCATTCAACATGCACAAACCCCACTAGGCAGTGGGATCACAGACGCTTTGCAAACGTTATTGCATGTCTTACCGAGTCTCAAACCAAGAACATTCAACTTTACCAAAACAGCTTGCACAATTGTGTACGCTGATGCATACTTTCAGGCTGGAGATCAGAGACTGTCGGTCCGAACGGCACTGGAGCAACCAGGCTGGACCGCGGAAGCCACGAACCTCATGAAGAACGGCTGGGGCTTTGTGCTTCGCCGACCCGACGGTGAGTGTCATTATGCCCATGGCGAGATCCCTGGACGGCTCCTCGGACGGTTCACCACCCGTAGGGCATTCATTTATGCCTTGGAAATCATTGCCCAACTCCTGTGCCTCATTGTCGGCATGCCAATGATGGAAGAGATGAGCATTTGCTTCATCGATAACGAGCCGGGCAAATTTGCGCTCCAGCGAGGATTCGGCAAGGACACCAAGGTGAACCGCCTCTTGGGACTCCTGTGGAGCTTCCTGAACAAGTGCGACCACCAGCCCTACTGGGAAAGAGTCACCTCGCAGGCGAACATAGCCGACGCAGTCAGTCGGGGGGACATGTCCATGGCCGAACGACTCGGCTGGAAGAGAATGGAAACCTCGTGGGATGACCTCTACCACGTCTTCGTCGACGCCACCGACTCTATGGAGCAAGCGATGAGCCTGGGAGCTGCGCTGGCCACGTCTTTTGGCCGGGTGCCACGGGGTCAGGCGGCCAACATGGCAGAAGAACGCCTGCCTTGCGACGCTGCTGTGGCACCAACCCCAA